GTTGTCAGCCCTATGCTCCGGCCGCCCTTTACCCCCAAGAATATTCCTGATACTCATGTCTGTTAGAGGCTGAGTCGATCCTAGGGCCATAGTGCGGCTGGTAGGATTAGGTAAATTGAAAAAATCCAATGACCTCATCGGGATTCGATCCCGCGACCTTCCGTCTTGTAGCATAGTGTTTCAGCCAACTACGCTACCCCGTGCCCCCTCGAAAATAAGATAAATGGATGAACGTATGATTTGATTTGGTGAGTCAGTGTTCCGAGGGGGGCGCAAATAAGTGGATGGATTGACTTCTGAATAAACGAGTCGGTCGCTGAGTTGGCGGGTTTATGGACGCGTGAGGAAGGCAAAACTTGTGCGTGTTCCGAATGTTATAAACGTGACTTCTACAGAATACGATCCCCCCCCCCCGATATATCAGTAGACTCCTATACTGCCATAAAGGTGTATTATATATAGAAAAAAAATTAAATACAAAAATTATATACTGGTATTTTGTTTCCAACTTGTAAAATATGAAGTGTGGGCTTATATTACTAGAAACAAATGTAGGGTGCTGGGTTTGACAACCAGTAAAAGCGCTACGCTGCCGCAGTTTTTGTTTCGGGATTCTTATTCTGTCAACAGCCGTTCGAATATTTCACCACTCTATCATCACCAGAAAGATTGATGATATCTGACTTTGGTGAATTATACAGAAACGAGTACCAGGAATCTTCCTGGGGCGTAAAGGGCGGCCAGCGCGTAAGGCTGACAACCTTACCGCCATCTGTGAGCACATTGTCTAGAAGCTGGGGAAGCCTCAACCTCTCACAGCCCTATGGGCCTCCGCGGCCTTTTACATGGATAACTGTACCTTTTACCTTCGACAGTATCATAACAATCGGAGATAGGTCAGTCAGTATAGAGACTATGTTACGGCTACACGACCGAGAAATAGGCGTTCCATTCCCGGTAGGGGCATAGATTTCTCGCTCCTTAACCTGGTCCAGAGTGATCCTTGGGCTCTTCCAGCCCTCGATCCAATAAGTAATGGGACCATCTTTCCTTGGGGATGAAGCGGCCAGGCAGTGAATCTGATTGTTCACATCGATCTAGTGCCGAATTAAAAATATATGGAGCTATACCTCCACTCCCACACACGTTTTCATTTTGAAGTTTACCCTTTTTATACGGTTTCATAACAGTGCGTGCTTAGGAAACGCGAATAGCACCATCTGGTAAACCGTAGTGGCGGAACCGAACTGCTATTTGCAGTTACACCTATAGCTCAGTCATTAAATTGTATTTACGTATGAATCATCTCTAATGCGAGGAACGGACTTCTAGGTGATAACGCTGTGCTTACAGCTGACAACCAAAGTTCATGGCGTTTCCTAGTAATCGCCTCTAACGACTGAACGAAATGTGAAAAGTGACACGGTGTACATATCAGCGACATGGGGAATGCGATACCTGTCTCAGGACAAGTTAAAACGTCTCTATAACTGCGGATAGTGTACTCCCAAGGGGTCGCGACATGCTCTACAAGGGCTCGCTCAGTTCTCGAGAGATAAAGGTAATAAAAGGTAAGGTTGTCCCTAATTAAGCACTACGCCAAGAAGGCATATGGAAGAGCCGATGTATTGATCCACGTTTCTTTGACCTCGGCACTAGTTGGAGGTGAGTCATCAGCTTCACGCCCCGGCCGTTTTACTCTCGGGAAAGAGCCCACTTTGCCCATTGGATAGGAGGATGCGTGGGCTCCACAGCCAGTCTGGACGACGTGGGGAAAATAAAATTCTTGACTCTGCCAGGAATCGAACTCCGACCCCTCGGTCGTTCAGCCCGTAGCCAGTATACTGCCTGCGCTATCCCGACTCCTGTTCTCACGAGACAGATGTTTAAAATACAGTTTAACGGCGCTCAATTTCGATAAGTCTGTAAGATTTAATGTGTTTTCTGAAGAACCAGCTGCAGCCACAGAACAGTGTATTTCTTTCACCACTGTATAGGAACATGTTACAGCTCACTGGAGGTGTACAGGCTGTAAAGCTATTTAGATTCCTGCTATCATAATATATTCTGATTTTTTTTTCCTTGGCACTACAGCACCAGTGGGCCGAGGCCTACCTCCATGAACTACGTTCACTTCGGCTTTTCTAGATCTTACACTTTCGGTAGGACTCCTTGGGCGAGTGATCAGCTCGTCGCAAGGCCTCTACCTGTAGACAAACACAGAAAAACGCACACAAATATCCATGCCTTGAGTGGGATTCGAACCCACGATCCCGGCTTCCGAGCGAGCGAAGACAGTACATGCCTTAGACCACTCGGCTACCGTGACCGGCAATATATGCTGATAGGGACCTGCAACAAATTGCAAACTGCAATTTTCACTGACCGGCAGAAATGGGCAATCATGTAAACTTCTGGAATGTGACGCCAGATGGCTACCGGCGCTTATGAGGAACCTGTTACCTCCATCTTCAGCGTAGCAGGAAAAGTCAAGCGGGAAAACATGGGACCTATACAAGGAAGAGAGCGCAGAAACCGGGATGTTTCCATAAAAGGGCTATTTTGTCAACGGGAAAGAAAGGGTAAGAAGTGAAAAGGAAAAACGGTGACTTCTACGGGACAGAGAAGGTAACAGTCGCTCATCTACTAACGATGAGCCACACGGCGGGCCTTGTCTGAAGCAAATGAACCGAGTTCATATCCTCGCAACCTATTTATTTAATATAAGATATTTAACTACCGTTCTGAGCGACTAGTAAAAGTCATGTTTTTAATTTTTCATCCTTTACATATTTCGGTGAAAATGACCATCTTGAGAAGGATATATCAATACATATGGAAACTACTATTACCATGTCTAAGATATAAATATTATATCCTTTAACTAATGCTAAGATGTACATTAATTTGTTAAAACATATAAAATTATTACAATAAGCCTGTTTACAAAGTGGTGTACAATATCTGTTCTAATATAAACCAATTTCGTTCGTGTCGTATCCTTCTGAAAATAGTCGTTTTAACCGAAACATGTAAAGGATAAAAAAATAAAAACACAACTTTTATTAGTCACACTGGAAGGTGGGTAAAAATCTTATATACAATTACTGGTGTGACGTACCAGGATGAACGAAGTCTAGTTATTTAAGCTCAATTAGTTGTGGCCGTGAGGAACTATGAGACAGTCGGTAGCCGGTAAGGACGTGAACACCGAAGCACAGAAATGACATGGTTGGGAGCCGTTACCAAGCTACGACTGGTGAGAACCCTGCAGACTGAGAAGACAGTGCGTGTTGTAGCGAATTTCAGAGTGCGTGAATTAGCGATATAGCTGTTGCGATTTGTAAGAATCCGATAAAAGTAATTACCAACCCGAAACCCATGCCTAGTCACTCAAATAGGTGGTAATAGTATTCCCAATGTACGCCTATATCTCCCTAGTGGCATCTTCTCTTATGATTTTCCTGCTTAATTGTTATACACATTTATCATCTCAATTCTGTGTACTACATCCTCCGCACATACCATCCCTCTTGATCGGATCTGAGACGAAGTTCGCGACTTAAACCACTGAGGAGATGACGTGTACGGTGGCTGGTCGGGGCTGCTGCGTATTTATGGAGGTGGTAATACAACAACGATGGAATTATGATAGGGGAAAAAATTGATGAAAACTCCGAGAAAAACCTGCTCCAGTACCATTTCGGCCTTGACTTCAACACGTAACAACATTTGGTGATAAGTACGGCACAAATCATTGATCACAATAGCCGCGAAGTGCAAGGCACGAAATGTCTCCTCCCTCTCAAACACTGTAATTGTGATTTCGAATCCAACTTCAGGCATGGATGTCTGTAGGTTGCAGCCCTCCTATCGGACTGTTCCCCCGTCCAAGGAAACCTACCGACTGTCTATAAGATTCGAATCTATGAGTACTTTTTAACTCTGAATGGAAACAGGACAGAAAGCCTAATCCGTAAAGGGAGAAGAAGCAGAACACTGCTACATTTTGGGGCACTTCAATGCAGCGAAACTGAAATAATTCCTTCAGATTGGTAACAGAAATAACGTGGGGATGTCAGGATTTTATTTAGTTCCAAGACAAATGCCATTAAAAATCTGGTTACGATGTTCATTTATAAGGCAAAACCTAAGTTTACTGCGTAAACAAAGACCTATATGTTAGATGATACTACATTTGAGGATCAATTCTGCATTTCGCAATGGAATTGACCAAAGTACTCGCTGATCTATACGTTAAACTGAGCTCTGTAACGTGAAGTGACTCTTTGGGCATAGAATCCAAACTGAGACCCTTCACAGCATTAATATTTTCCTGATAATTAAAATATTCGAGTGTATGTTTAAAGTGTATCCTTACTGGACGTAAGAGGAATAAAAATGTTCCCTGTGTTCAGCAACAAAGAAGCGAATGTCACTAACCGCCGGGTACCCGCTGACTACGAGTCTCGGTGGGTCTCTGAGCTGGCCTTGAGATGCATGCGATAGAAGAACCTGAGCGCTCGTGGATAATCGAAGCCTGATTTTCATGCCGCTCAGCCAGTAGCCTAGTTACTATGTTGACGTAACTACCTGGCCGAAAAGTATTCTTGTCGCTGAATTTGAAGTGTAATTTTAGTTTCCGCAAAAAGAAATTCTAACGTACTCAAAACACCTAAACTGTCAGGGAGTCTGGGTGTCATGTACGTTTGTAAGGTCCAGCACAAACCATTCTGAATGCCTAACCAAACTGATCGCCACCACGTTATCGAATACACAGATAAATACATTATGCAATAACTAACAATGTATTGCCAAATAGTGAATTCTTATCGTTACCAAATATAAGTCAAAACGACTCTATTCAGGCACACTGAATGCGAATTCCTGACTGTTTAAGATGGTATGTTACGAGGGTAAAAGAAGCCAAAATATTAGAGATGTCTCATGAATGTACGAGGTGACTAGTTACGCGCTATAGAAATGCTACATATTCTTACTTCAAGTTTTTGCGAAAAATCCTCAGCTATCTTCTCATTTTGCCGGCTTAGTTCTTCGTTTTTCTCGAGGAGCGCCTTTCCGAGTTCTGCGGCAAGGATAAGATCCTTTTCTTTCTGTTGAAGTTGGGCGTACACATCGAGGTCCTCGGGATCCGCTGACGGCTCTACGCTACGACATTCCATCTCGTATATGTAGTCCTCCAAAGCGTACTTTTGTTTCATCCTGTCCCTATGCATCATCACACCGAACACTACTCAAACACCTTCACTTCATCGGGAATTATACAGTCACGAACACCAGTGTTAAGTGGTGCTGTTCGATAATTACTTATACCTGAATTTGAACACAATCTCACATCTCACATTAATGTGTGTTCCGGTAAACCACATTTCTTCCATTAACTGTTACTCAGTTACCATCTTGTGAATACCTGTATGTCAGATTAATTACGGAAACACGCAAAACGAAAACAAACCACACAGCTCTATTCCGTGGCTGCACAACCGTGCAACTGTCAAAAGGAGAGGGGTAACAAAGGTAAGAACGGTAAGAAACACTATGAGCACCGACGAGCACAACCGACCGCTACCAACCGCTACCGACATCTACACACCTTGAGGTGAATTACTTGAGCTGACTACACGCTAATCATTCAAAATGTGCACGAAAGAGTCGCTAGTCGTTCATGTGAACCAGTCTCAATACATCTTTCACATTCCAGATTTATCCTAACCAATTACAAACCACGTACGCTATATTTGATTCTGTGATAGGGTGTCGTGTGTTGCGCTGATGTAAAAATAAATAACTTAAAAGTTATTACTTAATCTCTTGATCTCTGACAGATGGTAAATTTGGATTTCCATTCGATATCGTAAATCCCCCGTGTTGAGGGATATAAGCAATACGAGTATGTTCCTGCAAGAACCATGATATAAATCTTCACTATCATGAAAGCCTTAGATCTTATATAGCACACTTATATCTACGATATAATAACTAACTCATAGTATGATTTAAATTGAAGAGACGTCTTAATTCTGTATTCCAGTAAACTGGGATTTGTGAAATGACTGCCTTTCCATTCTTCATGGCTACAGTGACCAATTGAAAACCCCATGAGTGCTGCAGAAGCAGTAATGTTCAGTGCACATTGTTTAGTAGCTAAGAGGAAACTCCATGTAGTTGAGCCTTCCTAGAGAAGCTGCCAGTTGTTCATCTAAATACTGATCCAAAAACAAATCATGTGTCCTTATAAAATACAAGGTGTTTGCTGTGTAACGGCTTAAGATAAACAAGAAAGCTCTACTGTGACTGGTTCATATGAATTACTAGCAGCTCTTTCATTCAAGAATATTAAAAGGGCCCTGGACAGTCAATAATACTGGTCAGTATTTCATATTGGGCAGCATTATTGATCATTTAGGACAGGTACTGAGGACAGGCAATTGTACCAATTTACATGAAGGCCAATATTACTGGCCATAACATAATGGAGCCATTACGTCACGTGGTAGTGTAGTTGGTTGAGGCACTATTCTACAGGCTGGTAGGTAGCGGGTTCGATTCCCAATGAGGTAACTGAATTTTTCAATTTACCTAATCCTTCCAGCCGCACTATGGCCCTGGGGTCGACTCGGCCTCTAAAATAAATGAGTACTAGGAATCTTCCTGGTGGTAAATGCCGGCCTGAGCATAAGGCTGTCAACCCTGCCGCCATCTTTGAGGCGATTGTCTAGAAAATGTGGGATCCTCAACGTCACAAAAACCTATGGGCCTCCAAGGCATATTATAGGATAGCTCTATCTATAGTGAGGATTAACTGAATATACTGAAGGAACAAAAATGAATTTGATTTGTGTTGAATGTCTATCAGTATATTGCACTGGCTGAGGGTAGTACTGCACAGTAACCTATCAGCTTGAATCTGGCTGTTGTGGTGAGAACATCGCTTCAAGATATCTGTGCCTGTTGTTAAAGTAAATACCAGTTTGAAATAAGAACACAGTTCATGCTAGACTGTATTAGAGTGTACACAGATATGTCAGCACTCTGAAAGATCAAATTAGAGAAACAGAGAATGTGTGTTGGGGGGCGGGGAAGTGCCTATCTCAAGTCTTTTCTTCACGATTATATTGCAGCTGTTTCTTATACCAACCCATCATCCAGTGCCTGGTCTTCGTTCTCATACTAAAGGATAAGATAAGAGGTACACGACTGAAATCTTTATTGTTACTTATTATTTCGCCATCTCACATGCACGTTAAAATTCAGAGTGAATTTTAAGGTTTTATGTTGCATGTGAGACTGTGAAATAAAGTAAAAAGTGAAGGTATCCCTGTAACAGGTCGTGGATGTCCATAGGGTTGTGAGATGTTGAGGTTCCCACATTTTCTAGACAATCGACTCATAGATGGCGGCAAGGTTGTCAGCCTTACGCGCCGGCCGCCCTTTATCCGCAAGAATATTACAAGAATATTCCTGGTACTTATTTCTGTTAGAGGCTGAGTCGACCCCAGGGCCATAGTGCGGCTAGAAGGATTAGGTAAATTGAAAAAATCCAATTGCCTCGTCGGGACTTGAAGCCCGCGACCTTCCGACTTGTATCATAGTGCCTCAACCAACTACGCTACCGCGCGCTCCCCGAGACCGTGAAATAAGAAGTGAAAACATGTGGCGTGCAACAGGATGCTGCAGTTCATTACAAAACCTTTGTCGCCCAATATGTTTCCCCTGCACATCATAACGCATACAGATGAAAATACTGCACAAAAGTACAGAGCCGACCGATGGATTCGACTTGTTGTGACTAACATTGACCATTTACGCACCCCTTTACGATGAATAGCGTGTACTCGGTGTAGTAATTTGTCGGTAGGGCAGGCTTTCATTCCCACTACGGAAGTTGGGCAATGGTGTAACCTGTTCATTAAGTCTTGTACATGCCGCGCTTTCACGCCGGTATTTTTTCCAATACATTGCTCATACATTTTGAAGATTTGTTTGATTCTCAGAGTTAACCTTGGAGGTGGAACTTGTATTCGTGGAATGGTGATATATTACTGTTGCTTTTATAACATGTTTGTATTCGTGGAATGGTGATATATTACTGTTGCTTTTATAACATGTTTCGACATTATAAGTTAATCATCATCATTATTTGTGTAGTTGCTTCTATCTATTGTTTTGTAATGCTCTGTTGTAATTCGTCAGACAAATTACTGTCGTACAGATTAATACCCAATAATAGGTGACGTGTTACTCATGTGACGTCATCTACCCGTAGGATTTGACCACAACTACGATGTGATTTAATGCTCGAGTATCCTGATAGATGGCAGCTACAGCTTGGTGCAGGTCAGATTTGGAAATAATTCGACAGTCGAATCTCCATATCGACTACGGAAACTTTATCCAATCACAGAGGATGTTTACTTACGCAATGGGCCAATACGAATAGAGCTCTGCAAGACGTTGACCAATAACAGGTTCCACATGAAATCTGAACCATTTAGAACGATTTAGGACTAATCTCGTATTCAACGGTTCCGGAGTTTAAAATGTGCTCTTGTTTTAAGTGTCAAGGAACTTCCAGTGGTTACATGCACCATTGAAAAGGTTAGTTAAGTTTAAATAAAAGTAGCAAAGTAAGTTGAAAGACATTATATCGTACATCGGTTTCAGAGTACACAAGATGTGGATTCAAATTGTGTTTCACATAAATAATTGTGTATTTTTCTTGTACTCAGTACTTTACACAGGATATTGAATACCTGAATTTCTGAAACATATACTGTCCATTTGTTACAATTAAACTGTAGTTAATACAGCTAGAAATAGATATGCTCAAGATATTTATGAGTCCTTGGGACCCGTTATATTTTGCTTTTATGTGTGGTAGACGTGGACTGAAATATGACCAAAAAATACGCATTCTCTTTTTTTTCTTGAAATTGTAAAGGTCTGAAAAATTTCAGCAATGTCTAGTCTTTATTATAATAATTGAAACTTTAATTTGCCACAAGCGTAATTTCCTCCCACCCAATGCACACTGGCTGCATCTGTAAATGTAAATGATACATTTAAACAAAAAAAAAATGTAAAAAAAAATACATGAAATTTTCAGCAATATGGGCAAAATTGGAATATATTGATGTGATAATGAGCAAATTTTCACACCTGCATTATGCAACAGCTGACTCACATTTTCAGGCAAGTCAGTAAAATGTGATTGTAATCAGACATAGACAACAAGATATTTGATCCCTGAAGAATCTAATGCAAGGGTCAGCAACCTACAACCCACAGTCCTTATACAGCCGGCATTAGGGTGTCATCTCACTCATCATCCCAACACTGCTGGGGAAGGGGATTGTTTCAACAATTTCTTCCAGAAATTTCATGATCATTTCCCTCCCTGCTGTAATGGTGTCTCCCGATCCTCCCACCATACCTCCTGTGTTATAAATAGGAGTTCTGGCATGTGAATCCTACAAATGGCTAGGAGCAGAAGGCGTACAGAGACAGCAGTTGCTTTTGCATGTGAGAAGCATAACAGTGTTTGCATAATGTTGTCTTTGTTCTTTCTGAATTTGCAGTGGAAGTAATTCCAATTTTACCATTAATGCTCTGTCAAAGTTAAGAACAGGAAAGGAAAAGGCAGCACAGGATATAATAAGGAGGAAAGAAGAAACTTGTGCCCTATTTTGAAGCCATCTTCCTTGGGTTAAGTGAATTTCTTTACCGTTTCTTGTCAAAGTGCATTGTTTTGCTTTTGAATATTATCACATGTATGACAGACTATAGGCAGTTTTGGATTGGTCAGGTTCTCTGTGTCCACACAATAAACAGACAAAAAATTTCCACTTGACACACATCTGGGTCTTTGGGGCCTGACTCAGCTAATTTACAGAACCTATAAGAGCTGGTGACCTGCACATGGGACAGTCAGGAACATGACTAAGAGATGGGAGAGTACTGAGAATTCCACTGTGGTGCGGGTGCATTTCCTTAAGATTTGACAAAAATAAAAATTGTTCACATTCTTTCAACCTAGGGGAGTCAGTTGTGGATTAAATTAACAAACAATAGTTTTCTTATTACTGTCACTAATAGATTATTGAATGGTACACCTATGTTCAGTAATTTTAAAAATGTATTACCTCTTTTCAGGTTAAGGTGGTAAACACTGAGACGGCAAATCCAAATTGAGTTACTGTCACTAATGGATTATTGAATGGTACACCTATGTTCAGTAATTTTAAAAATTTATTACTTCTTTTCAGGTTAAGGTTGTAAACACTGAGACGGCAAATCCAAATTGAGTTGAAAAAATGGAATCGTCCAAGGAACCAATTAGTGTACGCATTGCCCGTCTGAATAACCTATTTCTAGGGCGAGTGGGTGCTGGTAATATGCATTACCTTGGACGGGAAGGATTGATGGATACCCTTATTGTTCTTTATGATGAATGCAACAATGATCATCTGAAGAAGGACCAGAACATTGCTCTATTTGTAGAAAAATGTACATATTTCTTATTTTGCATATAAACTAATGAATGAAATTGTTTTCATGTTGAAAGTACTCTTACAGGCTGTTCACTTTTATTTTGCAGATCGCAGCCTAGTTGCAGAACTGCGTTGCCTACGAGTGAATATTTCAGATTTTGAAGTGAAGAAAATTATAGGTCGTGGTCATTTTGGCGAAGTTCAAGTAGTACGAGAGAAACAGACTGGCGATGTTTATGCAATGAAAACACTTCATAAGGCTGATACTTTAAGTCAGCAGGCAGTGAGTATTATGCAGTGTAATTTGGTGTAAGTCATGCTCTCACTTCTGGTGTCACAAGTGAAACTAATTTTTTCCTTCACTCCTCCCCCTCCTGATATTAAAGAATTTCGGTATGAAGCACTGGAAATTGAATTTGAATATCTAATGGTAGTTTGTACACATTGGTTTATAGATCTTATGAGGTGGAAGGTAAAGTTGTCCCTGTGCTTAACTAATTAAGCAATACACCATGAAGGCGTATGGGGTAGTGGATGTATAGATCCACATTTCCTTGACCTCAGCACTAGTTGGAGGTGAGTGGTCAGCTTCACGCTCCGGCTGCTTTACCCCCGGAGGAAGATCCTCCAGTACCCATTGGAGAGGAGGTTAGGTGGACCCCAGATCTGGTCTGGACGATGTGGAGAAGTGAAAATTCTTACCCCCACTGGCACTTGAACTCTGACCCCCAGTTGTCCAGCCCATAGCTAGTCGCTATACCAACTGAGCTATCCAGCTCTGGATCTTATTAGAAAAATAATAAAATTGATACATGAATCTTGTTGGATTAAGGAAGGGAATCTTCCTGGTATGTGTTGTAAAATTTTATTAGAAATTTCTGCGATATAAGTAGCAAACTGGCATCCACACAAATATTGATATTTCATAATCGCAAACCATATTAGAATTGAATAATCAGAAAGTAAACTGCTTGTGTACCTGAACACCATGTCATGAGGCAGTTTGGCGCTGTGGATATAAACCTCCATAGATTCTAGATGTGGGCATTAGATAAAGACGAGTTATCTGCTTCACATTTTATGTACTTCACTGATGAGAGAAATAGACTGTGATAAGAGGCTGAGTAAATCCCATAGTCTGTCTGAATGTGATGGTGAGGAACAAAACCTTCCTCCTGTCAGGAATCAAAGCTGGTCATCCAGTCGATAACCAGTCACTGACTGAGCTGTCCAGCTCTGAATTGAAAAATTAAAGCAGAAGATCCAAGTGTAGGCATGGTGAGATCACTAAAGATGTTAATAAGAATTCAGGCAGTATATTTATATGGAATGAAATGTTGAATTTGAGGTTCTCACAACAGTGACTGTGAAGAGTACAATCCGACCATATAGGTCGGAAACAGCCTGATTCTTTGGTGTATCATATCACCTCTATATTCAAGGTTGACATGTTGCACTAAAGCATCAGGCTGTCCCTGAATAATAACAAAATACTGTTCTTCATAGAATGAAATATTCTGTAGTAAGTTGTGAAACATTTGAAACTTTACTGTAGTTTGCATGCAATTTGAAGTTACATATGCAAATCTAAGGAGATACTATGAGATATATCCAGATAGCTATAAAATGGTATTTATATTTGGTATTTGTATCATTTATTATATTTGTATTATAAAGTCATGGCCTAGTCCTATAAATATCACTGGAATGTGAATAAATTCTAATTATATATTGTGAAAGCCACCAATATAATTTACATTGGTCAGCAGGAGTAGGTGGTATCATGCCTTGATTTAAAATATTTAATGAGATATCTCAATTTTCTGGACGTCATTTTTTCTTTTTCTCCAAATTTATGCTGCGTCCAGGCTGCATCTTATGAGGAAGAGCGAGACATTATGGCTCATGCCACTTCTCCATGGCTTACCTCACTGCAGTATGCATTCCAAGACATGCATAATCTGTACCTTGTAATGGAGTTCCATCCGGGTGGTGATTTGCTGGCATTGCTAGATAGGTTTGATGGCTATTTGGAAGAAGCTATGGCTAGGTAAGTGCATTATTACTGTCTTTCCCTTTGTGTAAGTTACGGAATTAATTCAGAATTGCCAGTTACTTAATCCCCTTTTAATACTCATGCTACATTTTATTAAGGTAAGATGAAGTTATTCCTGTGCTTAACTAATTAAACACTACAATATGATGGCATGTGGTGGAGTGGATGTATAGACCCACATTTTCTTTACCTCGGCACTAGCTGTAGGTGAGTAGTAAGCTTCATGCCATGGCCACTTTACCCCAGGGAAAATAGACTCCAGTGCCGATTGGATAGGAGGTTAGGTGGACCCTAGAGCTGGTCTGGATGACATGGAGAAGAGAAAATTCTTTACCCTACTGGCGTTCAAGTTCTGGGATAAGGAAAGTTAATTTGTATAGTTTTTATTTGTGGTACAGTCAGTTTTTGAACAGTAAATATTCTTAATGATTAACAATGTCTAAGTTATGGCTGATGTCATGACCTTGTTACCTAGCAGAAAGGTTGGGTGTAAGAAGAAGGTAGGCTTTCTTTGCAGTTAGTAAATGACAATATTACAAATAGTCCCTCTTATTGTTAGCTAAGTGGTACGATTCACCTGTTTATATTACAGGGTTCTTCTTTATAATAAGGGTTAGGAATTTCTGACATTTGCATAAGTCTGAAAGTTTCTAATGTTGGTGTCTAACATTCTTTTTGATTGATATGTAGGGTATTGTCTGGTGTTAATTTTTTTTTCAAACTACTGTATTCTGGAAACTGAATCTGTTTCTTCTTAAGTCAGCAGAATACAGTAAGGAATTCAACCCCAGTGGACATTTTTGGAAACAACAGCAGTAAATCAAAATCACATTCCTGAGGAATAAAGACCAGATTAAATGCAGGAAGTGTTTGCTTCATTTGTTCAGAATCTTTTGTCTTGTCATCTCCTATGTAAAAATGTAAACATTAAAATAGATAAAACTGTAATTTTGCCTGTTTGTGTATGGGTGTGAAATTTGGTCTCTCACCCTAAGAGAAGATTAAAGGATAAGGATTTTGAATAAAGGTGCTGAGAAGAATATTTGGACCTCAGAGAGAAGGCTGGAGAATAGTATATAATGAGAAGCTTCATAATGTGTGTTCTTAACTAGACTAAAGACAGGGTTCGGACTGATAATTGGATTTATTGACCACTTACAGGTCATAAGTACAAGTAATTATAATACTGTTACTGATTTTCATACTACAAATCACTCCACACTGATCTTCTCAGTCTATTTCCACTGCCTTCACTATCTGTTTTGTGGCAATGAATCTGTAATGCAGGGACTATAAAAGTCTCACTAAATTGCAAACTCTCAGTATCACTACTACAGCACACATAAAGTCTTCAAATTACATGTTAAGTCTTCACAGGCCGACTTCTAATTCTTCATCCGCTACAAACTTCCCATGGCTGACTTAAACTTTCCAGTCTAATTCTGTCAACTGCATTGTAACTTCGAATGTCTTCAAGATAACTCCTTGGGATGGACCATGCACAGAAAACACATGTCACATGTTTGTTATCTCGCCTGCCCATTGGCACACTGACTGGACCCACAGAAAACATCACGTGACTGCCACCCAGCCAGCTCATTGGTGCGCTGACTGGTGCCTAGCAATGAGCTGTAACATTCATCCAATTGTTGCGTGCACATATTGCAGGGTGTTTATCTAGCCGTTGCCTAGCAACACGTTGATTGAATCCATTACAGTATTAAAAGGGGGATCAATTAAAGGAGGATGAGATTGGTCAAGTATACAGATGGATGTAGTCTTAGTCAGAAAATCTGAAGGGAAGGTAGAACTTTGGATAACCAGATGTACAGAGGAGGACAATATTAAAATGGACTTTAAAGAAATAGGCCTTGGTGTTGTTGATTGGATTCATCTGGTTGATGATTGTCTTATGAACCTGGTGATGAACATTCCCTGTCCATAAAATGTAAGGCATTTCTTGATTAGTTGATTGACCTGTAGCTTCTCAAAGTCTACTCCCTAAAGATGGTTAGTTATAATGGAACCCCCAGTCAGTGTTCCTTTATTTGAAGTTTTCTCATTTTTCATTTAAGATTTTCATTAGCATTAAAATCCACTATTTCCCAAAATAACCTTAAATCGGGGTTTCTCTGTAGTTAGGTATAAAAAACACCGGAAACATATATGTGGTCTGACTGTTCTTGATTTCAGGTTTTACTTAGCAGAGCTAGTGCTTTGTATTCGCAGTCTTCATCTGATGGGATATGTGCACAGAGATATTAAACCTGACAATATCCTTATAGACCGATGTGGTCACCTCAAGTTGGCAGACTTTGGGTCTGCTGCAAAGTTAACAGCTGCAGGAGCAGTGATGAGTCAGATGCCAGTGGGGACTCCAGAATATATTGCACCTGAAGTACTGAAGTCAATGGAGGCTTCTTTGGGAAACACAAAGAAGAAAAGTCCAGGTGCTTATGGGGTTAGTTATGTTTTATATTATTATATGTTCTAGTGCATTAACCAAAATAAAACAAAGTACATGCCGGTAACCAAGAAAGACTGTGCTAATGGACCTTCATATATTGAAATTGGCTCATATAAATTTGAGGCTGTATGTAGTTTCGCTTACCTTGGATCAGAAGTTAACTGTAAAAATAATATCAGTGATGAAATAAAAAAGCGTGTACTTGCGGCAAATAAATGTCTCCATGGCCTTAGGAAACACCTGAAATCTCAATTAATACCCAGGAAAACCAAAACTATTATGTATGAAGTACTTATAAGATCAGTGCTATCTTATGCCTCTGAGACCTGGCCACTGTCAAGATCGGATGAAAGACTGTTAACTATATTTTAAAGGAGGATCTTGAGGTATATCTTTGGACCAGTGGAAGAAAATGGAATATGGAGGAAGAGGTATAATCATGAGCTATACAAACTATTTAATGAACCAAACATTATTGGATTTATAAAGGTGAAAAGGCTTGAATGGGCTGGACACATAATACGTGCCAGCGAGAATAGAACGATTAAGAAAATACGTAATACTAAACCAGAAGGAAATAGGAGAGTGGGAAGACCAAGATTGAGATGGGAAGAATGTGTGTGACAGGACATAAGAATTTTGGGTGTAAAGAACTGGAGGAATGTAACATTGAATGGAGAAGAATGGCGAGCAATCCTGAGGAAGGCCAGGGCTCACAAAGGGCTGTCGTGCCAGTGATGATGATAATGATATGTTCTAGTGCAGCATTTTACAACCAGTGACTTGTGAAGGGATTTGAGTTCGGTCATGATAACTTTCCAGATAGGTTAACTATGCTGGAAATGAAAAAACAGAATATGTAACATTTTATAACAGTGGTGAGCCAAATGAAGACAAGAACAAAACTTTCTGTAATGTACAAATGTCTAGATATTCAGAAGTTGATACAAAGAAGGAGGGCCAGTTTTTCATAACATTATTCCTGCTATACAAGTGAAATATGTAAGCCCTGAGAATCTTCCTTATCATAAGTGTTCCAGCAAAAACATGCGTAGTATTATTTTTCAGGTATTTTAACCAAACCTTTCATGACACATTTCAGATTCCTTCAGTGAGTAGAGGCCTGCTGTTATAGAAACATTGTTTTTTGAACACTTAAATTTTGATGTTCATTGAATGTGCAATTATATCTTTTGAATCATGTTATGTCATATACCTATATCTCATCTCTACTGTCCTTTGAGAACTTTAGCCTCCTCAACCATTTTGCTGCATGTTATTTTCTCAGTACTTTCCTAAAAAATGTAATTTTAAGGTAAAAATATGAAGAATATGTATTCTCATAGCCCAGTGAATGATGCTCTATGGCGCAGCACATGAAGATGTTGACTAAGGTCGAATACCACGCTATTCAGCAGTGGATGCTTGTTGAGCTATGGTCAAATATTGCAGTAGTAAGGTTAATTACAGATGCCTATTGTTCTCAATGATCTCTTCACTTTCAGCTTCTGTAAGTCATCCTTTACATCTTCTAGCCATCTTAATCCAAGCCTCACCAATTTTATTCTACTTTCTACTTCCAAAAAAGATTTTTGCTACCCTTGATCCATTCTAACCAGCCCTTTGAACCCTTTTCCTTTTAATATCTGCTACAGATAAGAAGTTTTGCAAAATTTCCCCTGTTCTTGGTTAGCTCTGGTTTTTCATGCTACATGTTCAGTTACTGGTCTGTATGCCCAACACAAAGTATTCCTATCCTATATATTTGACATTACTTTATACGTCTCAGCCAGTGAATGTGTTTTACATTTGTATAGCAGAATTGATTTTAACAATGTTTTGTGTATTTTAATTTTTGTTATTCAACTCACAGTTATTGACTTGAAAATATGTTGTAAACCATATTGTCACTACATTACAATCAGATGTTACTGCTTGTTATAGTTTGTCCCAAGCAGATAATAGTTTAAGATCTTAAGATGGCCTGTGTCCTTTGATTCTTGTAATATTTCCCCTGTTTTCCTTAATGAAATGGCCGTTTGCAAAACTAATATATCTGACAAAGATCACTCACTCCTAGTTAAAGTTCAGGCTTGAGACTGGCTATCCTGACTATGGTTTTTATAGTTTTTCTCCCTTCCAAACCAATACCAGGCTGCTGTTTTAAACTAGTTCATGATGACATTCACATTTCTCCCATTCTTGTCATTCACATTATCTGTAACCACTGGTACAGATCCGTCCCCCCCCCTCTTGAGTGGGTGTTTAAATGGTTTGATGTATCGCAGAGAATGACCATTTAAGTCAGCACTCTAGTTGTTTAGATGCAAAGTCTGCTTCTCAGGATTAATAGGTTTTTGGACTTTGTTCAATGACCTGTGTTCTAAAAAACACAAAAGAACACAGGCTTCAGAAATGGAATTTTTCTTCATCCTGAGGTGAAGTGTGAGAGGCACCTAATTTGTTGGGTCTGTTGAAAGAGCTACCTCAATCACTGGCTGACCTATGTCAGTATATTTCAAATAAAATATACCGTTTTTATAAAATTATCCAAAATCAAATTTTGCAGTATTGATATATTCACTACCATTCAGCAGTTCTCCAAGCTGCCACTAGCAGCACTGCCCATTGCCCTCCCTCATGCAGGTGCCATCACAGTAGATGTAGTTGAATTTGTGATTGCATTACAGTGTGTGTATCTGATATCTTTGAGCCATCATTTGCTGTTTCCCAGGAAGACACTCAAATAAGGACTAGTGTGTGAATATATTGTTTCTGGCTTTGTATTGGGTTTCTGTAAGAGTTTTTCTCATGCATCTGGCCAAGTCATGTACCTGGTACACCAAATTTTCCATGCATTATGGATATCAGAAACTGCATGCTGTTTACTTTGTTGGTTCCATCTGTGAATTACAGAATATTCACATTTAAACCAAGAGGCAAGTAATTATACTTGAGAGCAGTAAAGGCTGAGTCCTTCAGTATCCATTGGTGTCTTATCTCATTACTTGCCACACCCAGGGGTTCCCTTGGCCTTTATTACTTTGTCAAAAAGTACCATTTCAATTGAGATGGCGGAACAAATAATTTTACAGGTGGAGTGTGATTATTGGTCACTGGGTATTGTTGCATATGAAATGGCGTTTGGGCAGACACCATTCTCTGGAGACCAGCTTACAGACACATACTTCAATATTATGAATCACAAGTCCAAGTTGCTGTTCCCTGAGGATTGTGATGTCTCACAGTCATATCATGACATCATATGTGGTCTCTTGGATGATGCTGCTTCACGCCTAGGTCACGAGCAGCTGTTGAAACATCCATTTTTTTCTAGTGTTGACTGGAACACTTTAAGAGAAGGTCAGAATTATCTCCATAATTTGTAGATTAAGATCTGTTTTATATAGCAATTTTGTAGTTTCAGGATAGTGACTGAGAAAAGGGGTCATTTGTTTTGTTGCTAACTTTTGTTTTTTCACCCTTCTAAGTTTTTGTGTTTTCTTTTCCATCAGTCATTCACCTTTCTCCAAGATGCAGGTAATAGCTGAATAAGGCCTTTATTTCTATATATAGCTTCTTACTGGTCTACATTTACTTTTACCCTCACCAGTCAAAGCAGACACCAGAATGTTCCACAGTGCCATGGTTTAGCGATATAAACATAGGAAATAGATCTGCTTCAAGGAACTTCTTTCTAATAGTTAAAGCTATTAATCTGAAACACTGGCAAACAAGAATAACTCGTTTTTTATTTTCAGCTGTTCCACCTTTTGTTCCGGTTGTCAAAGGCGTAGATGACACTTCAAATTTTGTTGAATTTGAAAAAGAACCACAAATTCCATCCATCGAAAATTTCAAGATGAAGAGAGAGTTTTCAGGCAATAACTTGCCTTTTGTTGGATTTACATATGTTCATGATGTAGATGTGGTTTCTAAGTGAGTATGGACAGCATATCGTCAGTGTCACAATTTTTTTTTTCTTGTTAAGTTAAAATTGTGGCCATGGAAATGTGTTGTGATTTTGGATATGCTTGTAACTTGACATTCACTTCTTAAAAATGTTAAAATAGCACTAATAACTTAATGTGATAAGAAAGTGAAGCATATGGCTGGATTCTTGATTTTCTCTATTGTAGGAAAGCTTGTTAGATAAGGCTTTCATTATAATTATCTTAGCTTTGACACTTTGTATATAGGATAACTTTTTTTTGTAAAAAATTCCTCTTTGTCTGTAATCTCTCATGGTATGACATTTGACAGCCAATGCATTGAATTACAATAATACAAGATGTGTCCCAAAAGTCATGAAATATATATATTAAATTTATTGATGATATCGGTACAAAGTGTTAATATTCTTCAAAGTACTGTCCATGAGCATCTACACATTTTTTCCACCGACTCTCCCATGCCCGGTATGCTCCCTCAAAGGCCTCGATGGAAACCTCATTTAAAGCTGTTTTCACGGCCGCTTGGATAGCCTGAATGCTTTCAAAACGGCGTCCTTTTGAGTGCAGTCTTGATCCTCGGGAACAAAAAGAAGTCGGCCGGAGCTAGGTCGGGGCTGTAGGGTGGCTGCGGCAGCGTTTCCACGTGGTGCTTCGCCAGGAACTCATGGACGAGCAGAGACGTGTGGCTGGGCGCATTGTCATGATGCAGCCACCAGTTAGCGGCGATGTCTTTTCGCACGTGGATGACCCTTTTCCTTAATCTTTCTAGAACATCCACGTAGTAGGGAGCGTTGATGATCTGTCCTTGGGGTAGAAACTCTTTGTGGACCACACCCTTGGCGTCAAAAAAGACGATGAGCATTGTTTTCACTTTGGATTTGCTCATCTTCGCCTTCTTCGGTTTCAGGGAAGCCGAGGTGTGCCATTCAGCACTCTGGCGCTTCATTTCTGGGTCGTACTCAAATGTCCACTTTACATCACCGGTAATAACACAGTCTAAATAATGAGGTTCAATTTCCACACGTTCCTTCAATTCACTCGCTATCAACACTCGATTGGCCTTTTGCTCGTCCGTCAACAATTTGGGGACCAGCTTGGCGCACACCTTTCGCATGTTCAATTCGTCCATAACGATGCATTACACAGCGGTTTTTGGAATGTTCAGAGTGTCGGCTAACAACCGGACAGTCATTCGATGGTCAGTATTCAACAAATCACGCACACGGGTCACATTTTCATCGGTTTGGCTTGTTGCTGGCCGTCCAGAGCGGGGGTCATCTTCCACTCCTTCCTGGCCCTCCTTAAACTTCTTCACCCACCTTGTAACTTGCACATATGATAGAGCAGNCCCCCCCCCCCAACCCAAGTGTACTCCGACCAGTAGGAGCACAGGAAAGAAATATATTTCATTACTTTTGGGATACACCTTGTATTTGCTTATTTTGGAATCTTGTTTCTTTCTATCCAAGCAATAGATTTAGTGAAGAGTTACATTTTTAACACTAATCTGTTCCTGCCTTTAGTGAAACAATATGTATTTACAGTGAAATCTCAATTTAGTGTTCCCGCATTTAGTGAAATCCCATATTTAACTAATATTTCTTCTGGTCCCAGCCAAAGTCCCACTTAAACAATATATTTTTCCCCATATTTAGTGAACTGTGGTCTAGTAAATAACCTACATTTAGTGTAAGCAATGGGAGAAGATTACAATTAGTGGAAAAGTTAGAATTATTATTTAGGTGTAATTTTTTCTAAACCCCTATTTAGTGCAAAAAAACTGTTCCTCCAGAAATTAATTGATTAGGGATTTCACTGTGAACACACTTACATGATCAAGAATTAGATAGATGATCATAGCTTTTCACACTATAGAGTCTGTGGTATTTTGTAGGCACAAATATCGAACAAGTTTGTCTCCCAAGAAGAAGAATGAACTTGAAGAAATTCTGGCTCGTTATAAGAAAGATGCAGATAGATTTTCGAAGAAAGTTTGTGAATTAGAGCATGCGAATGAGAGGAGGTAAGTGAAATAGTTTTATTGACTTGTTTCTTATCAGGATTATTAATACTGTTTCATATATGAGTGTGACTTTTGATGGGGTTTTGGATTGGATATTGGATTTTTTGACAACTTTAACACACAACTCATAATTTCACTTAATTATAGCTACATTGCTGATCTCCACACTCTACAGGTTTCTAGAGCACACAGACTATTATTTTCAGTCTGTTACAGTTTCCTCTAATCATTTCCTGGTAACGGCTCCAACAGTGGATATTCCTCTGCTTTCATGCTGAAGTCCTCTCTGAATGGCAGCTCCCTTCCAACTGCCCATTCTTGCTCCAGTTGTCCTTATATAACCCCTGGGCATGGACCAATTTTAGAAAACTCCATTTCCTACAGTATCTATTGTTGCATGTGGACTGTTGCTGCAGGAACCTGTTTGTTTGCAATCATTTCCTAGAAACAGCTGTACATGCTACAGTATAAATAACATAATCATAAATTCAGTTATGAATCAGTGATGTTCATTTACATTTGAAATCCATGCAAAGTTCAGCTATGTCTGGGTGAACACATATTTTGAGACTTGAATTTTCTTTTAAATGTAAATACAGATTTTAAAAGTTTTACTTATTTTTCACATCTTAAGCCAAGAAATTTTTCAGTGTAATTATTTATTTGTCTAACAGGACTTGTAATATACAATGAATAAATGAAACCATTTATATTTGTACAGATACATGTGTTTCAGTCTTCAAAGAATTATATTACAGTCCAAAACATGCATGTTTGTGTAAATGTAAATGATTACATTTATACGTAGTATTTTATAAAGACTTGTTGGACAAATAAATAACTTTATCATATAATATAAGCCACATGGTCCGAAAGGATTTAAGACCAGAAATGTGTACCCTTGCCATGTGACACAAACCAAGTGTGTGTCAATGAGCAGTGGTCCCATAGCTCTACCATATATAATAGTATAATGGTTAGCACTGCTTCTTCCTGTTCAAGAAGCCGCAGGCATGAATCTCAGATGGGATGCTGTGTACGCTGGCTGAGATCCTTTGCAATTCTCTGCAACCTCTAAAGGTCCTTAAAATAGACCATAAATGATTCCATATTCCATTTTATCATTCACTTATTCATCATGTTGTCATGTGTTACTGGCTAGGCATTGGGTTTGGATTGATAAATGGATTTATTGAACGCTTATAACTACAAATGATTATAATAGTCTCACTAATTCCACATTCTATGAATCACTACAATTAGAGCACACAAAATATTCTGTTTATTGTTCTGTTGTCACTAGTCATTGCTAGGTAGCAGCTGCTAACAATGGACATTCCTTATGGCCAACCTTGTACTGTCACTGCTCAGTCGCAACTGACAACTGACTGACTACTGCTGCTGTCAATCAGTCAAATTGCTGCTGGCCTTTGCAAGCTTAGTTGTTCCTTTCTTCAATTTCCTCGATGTCCATGACCAAGATTTTTGTTCTCTCCTAATCTTTTATGTGTTTAGAAATGGGGTCTCCTCTTTGATGAGGGATGGGTTGGTCCTTCCATATAGGCACTAGTTTGTTGCACTGTAGTTTCAACGTGAGTGTATATGCATTGTCACAGTGTCCAGGTCACTATGAACTCTGTGCACCCTCTGTCATTACACTGTATTAAGTAACATTTATACAAACTATACAGAGGCTTTCTGTCAATTCATGCTTATGCAGTAGGTTATGCCTTAACTTATGTAATTACTCTGGAACTGCATTTAGTCAGCTGAATGATTGTATCCCTGACTGCCGCTAAGATTAAGCCTCTTGTACATTCTATGTATGGCTTCTCTTTGTCCAATACCACATACATTTGGATTTGTACTGTTTAGGATTACTTCTGCCTGTGTCCTGCCCAGTTTAATTATATAATCATACACAAGGAATTTTGAGAGCCATATGCAATTCACAGACTTGGTCCTCATTATACAGCGTGGACTGCATAGAAAACACTTCATCCTCTATTGTTGCATCAACATCTGTTGCCATGGAAACATGTTTACTGTGCCACTGCCTGGCAATGACCTCCTCTACTCATTCCACTGTTCTAGCTTTCAGCCATTGTGTCACAGTATATGTGATTGACAAAACATTGTTAAGCCAAGACTCAAGCTAAGGGGGTCAGTATAGCAGTAACATATTTAATTCATATTCAGGAGGTACTAAATTCAATCATAGGCAGGTTACTGACTCGTGGCTGAAATATTTTTGTTGTTTTTCCCCATTCTCTTCAGATAAATACTAGGATGGTATTTTCACATATTCCATGACTGTTCCTTTCCAAATCCTTACTTTAATATTTATGGTCCTGGTCTCACTTGTCATTCAGGCTTATGTCTTGTTGGTAACTGTTTATGGTTGCAGGAGAAGAGGTTTGAGATCTATTGCACTAGAGGTGTTTAGAACTATGATCCTTGAACAAATGTAAATATGGTGATAATCTACAGTTTCTGTTCTTATCACATCAATTGTGCAGTGTGTTCTGTATTTATTTACTTTTTCAGAAATAAAATTGTTGAGGCGCTGGAGTGCAAAGTAGAGCAGCAGCGGGAGCAGTTGAAAACTGTAGAAGCGGATAAGGACATTCTAGAACGTGAATGTGAGCGGTTAAAAAATGAACGCATGGTATGTGTAGCACAGAAATGTATTTAATTTAATCCACTGGAAGATATCGATCATACCCGAGCACATTAGTTAGTTAGTTATTGGAGAGGGTGGGTTTCCCCATGCACTGAGACCTGTATTGGTCCATTGTGCTTCCCTCTATGATTTCTACCAGTCTCTATATCCTACCGGTACTGGTGCTTACTATCAGTCCCGCCCAGCCAGCGAGACCGGCTCTACTAGCTGAGAGGTATCTATAATGCTTCCCCCATCTACCAGAGGTATTAGAGACTGCTGTTGAGCGGGAAACGTCCGTTAATTTGGCTCAGTGACCTCCTTTGGAGATATGAGGTTCTTTTACATGCCGTAAAGCTACGACACTTGACCCACGGCTTAAAGTCCCTCCCGGAGGACTTGTTCCCTAAATTTTTCCGCCCTTAAAAATTCGACGACCTCCGCCGGGTATTTGAACCCGCGTACTACGAGTCATGAGGTGGGAACGTTACCTCTAGACTAGGGAGGCCGCTTACCCGAGCACATTAAGTTGACTGGTAGTCTGTTGGAGAGGCAGGTTTTGATTCCCATTAGACACATGAGTTTATTGCTTTACCACGACATCAAGAATGACTTGAGCCCAGACAGATTTATGCAGTATGCATAAAGAACACTTCTCCAAGTGTAATTCTACCAGAGTGTGACGCTGACCAGTGTCAAGGTGTAGAATGCTTGCCACCTATATGTGAAGGGCATCTTCACCTTTACTTTTAAACTGGAAGGTGCAGTAAAATGATATGTGGATTATTCGCAAATTTAAAACATAATGTACAATATCATTTTTGCTATTTGTACTGTTTGGATGTCTGTGTTGGGATAAACAGTCTTACTACTTTTTTAATGTAAACATAGTTATATTTTAAGTTTCTTCATATTGTTAACCATTTTTGGTCCATTTAACTTGAAATTCCTACCTGGGTCTCTGAAGAAGAATATACTCGTAAACATCTCCCACTATCTGTCATATATATAGAGGTACTTATTTATTTCATCATTACAGATCACAGGCTGTAGCAACCTCAAATTATGGTGCTATGTTGTATTTTAGCGTCCTGTTGCACTGATTCATATTCATAATGTGTATATATTTACCGTCTTTTAGTGCATACAATCGAATCTACCACTTCTACACTACATGTTTCGGCAGTATGCTGTCATCTTCAGATGTATCAGTCCGTCAACCATTTCACTGCTTGCCTTTATATGTCCATTTACAAATAATATTAAATTCGTATACGTCCTTATATAATAATAAAATTTATGTATTTAATACTTGTTAAAACCTATTATCGCATGTCATATTTTTAAATTTGTGTGTATTATTGGTCATCCACATGGGGGTCGTTCTTCTTATGTTTCTAATGTTGTGTGTATATTATGTCTTATGATGTGTTCTAGTCTTGTGGCTGTGTGCGTTGTATCGTTAACACACACACACACATCCAATGATACACCTGAAGATGGCAGCACACTGCCGTAACATGTAGTGTAGAAGTGGTGAATGGATTGTATGCACTTGAAGACTGTTAATATATACACATTATGAATATAAATTATGGTGCACTTATTGCATAACAGGACTGGTTGAAGGAAAATATTAGTGGCACACCCAGTGAGCCTGTCGCCTTGTTAAGTATTAATATGAATCTTAGTGCCAACTTTTCATTGCTACGCTTAGTAGTGCTAAGAAACATCCAAGTGCAGTTGCAGAAGAAGTAGATTTTAGCAATACAGCACTTACAATTAATAATTATGAACTAGATCAGTGATCCTTGGGTGCAGCGACATTTATTTTCTTACCAATATCTTGTTGAAAATCTTTCTTTAGTCTTGAGACAAATACTCCTTGTCTTCTAATATCAATAAATTTTTCATGCTCTTGGGGTAATTTTTGCTTTGAGGACTGCTTGATTAGGTACTTCAAATGGTCATACAAGTATGAAAGAAGCAGCAGTATGATTTACACTAAAGAAATTAGGATTATTTTCTGCTGCAAGCTATCTCATATAATGCAATCTCATTATGCGTGTGTATTCCTGCCTTTTATAAATTTCTGATTTTGTTTCATGGTAAAATGGTTTGCAACTCCGCTGTTAGAAGGAATACTGTATTTCAGCATCATATTGTATGTGAACAACTTGTTAATGGTTCTGTCAGAACAGTTTGTGTATAAACCTTATATATTATTTTACAAAATGTTTTGACCCTTTATGGCCATGATCAGGTAATATATTTACACTCATTCTCCACACTTCTGCTATTTTCCCCTACATTGGCTGATGTTTACAATTGTGGGGAGGTCATACGTGTTATTTGTCAATGTGAACATATAAAACTGGAAGTTCTCACATACTCATTCAAACAGGCAAGAAGCAGTAATCGACCTAAGCGTTTTGTATACAAGGGTTGAAACTTTAATAGTGGCAACACTGCTGTAGAGACGCCATGCAACGGAAACAAATAATGTCGCTTATACCACACGTTAGTTACATACCTACCTTACCTCAGAGCAAATGGATTCTCCCTTCCCACATCACACGCATGTGTAGTGACAAGAAGAACAGAGCCTCTGTTAGCTGGCGGTCTAATGTAGTGTTGTCACGATGTTTTTGAAACAGGAACAACGGAGTTGGATACAGATTGAATGTGCCAGAGGCTGTACAGCACGACAGTGTCTTCAAGGTCTTCAAGAGACTTGCAGGGAATCTGCATTGCCTTACAGAACAGTGGCAAGGTGGATAAGAGCCTTCAACGAGGGACGCCAAAATGTGGCAGACATGCGTCGTCCAGGTCGTCCTAGTGTCAGTGAAGAAGTGCATGCTCTTTCTGCGTTACTGGAGAGTGATTGGCGCCATACGATTCGTGAGCTGGCCTGAGAGACAGGATTAGCGCATATGACTGTGCTTCACCTTCTGAAGGAACACCTGGGCATGAGAAAAATTGCATCACTATGGGTTCCACATGATTGACAGAAATGCAGAATTGCTATGATATGACGCTGCTCATAACCACTTGGAGTGCTATGAGTGCGAAGGAGAGGCTTTCTTATGCCATATCATTATGCTGGACGAGACATGGGCCAAATTATATGAGCCACAAATGAAACACCAATCAAATAAATGGCGTCATCACGGGTCACCATGAAAATCAAAAGATCGTCAGAACCCCAGCAATGTGGAAGTTATCGTGACTTTCGTGTATGACTGTGATGGTGTTATCTTACCGCATACCGTTCCCTGACAGCAGACCGTCAATGCGCAGTATTACTGTTCATTTTTGGAACACAACCTGTGACCAGCTTTGAGAAAGAAGTGGCAACACTTTCTGCAGAACCCACCCATCATTTTGCAGGACAATGCTTGGCTGCATGAGGCTGGGAAGTGCTGTATCATCCACCATACTCCCCAGACTTAAGCCCTTGTGACTTCGACTTGATTCCTAAGATGAAGGAACCACTTTGTGGCATTTGCTTCAGAACTATTCCAGAGATTCTTGAGGCAGTAGACCGCTCCATTCAACCTATCAACACGACAGGCGCTGCTAAAGGTATCCTACAACTTCCACATCGCTGGCAACAGGTTGTACACAATGCTGGTGACTACATTGAAGGACAGTAAAACTTTGAAACATGCATCTATTTTGTATCAGTTATAAATAAATAGTTGCCACTATTAAAGTTCCAACCCTCATATTTAGGTTGAATTGAGATGTTTCTTCCCTTCAGAGCATGTTGCAGACCCTGGAACAGGAGCGTAAGGATCGTCAAGCAATAGAGAAGAAAGTTGTTGCCCTGGTCCGTGACAGCAAGGCCAGTTGGGAGAAGAAACACAAGCAGGAAATAACAGATTTGGAGAAGCGGGTGGAGGTATAATGTATATGTCAATGTTGCATGACCAGATTAACCCAAGCACCATTTTCTATTTCAAACCCTTTCCTTACATTTTGAGTACCCAGTATTAACACAAATGTGACAATGGATTTCCCAGTTAATATTGTTCATAACTGGGGGAGTGTGTGGTTTTCCATGTTCTTCCTTGAAAAGCAGTCTAAATCACCGTGACCCTACCTGACAGGAGGTGCATCTGAATCTTCTGCCTCATCAGTGATGAAATATGGGTGAATCAGAAAGAAAAGAAGGCAGTTGATGAAATATCAGTACAATCCTCCTTGTTCAAAAAAGTTTAAAGTTCACCTGTTTGCCAGAAAAGTGATGATGTCAGTTTTTTTTNGGAGATGCGAAAGACATAATCCTTATAGATTAATGAAAACAAGAACAACAGTAATCCCAGATCACTGCATCAAATTCCTGGGTTAAGACAAAAAATTTTAAGGGTTCACATTGGCAGAGAAGCTTTCATTAAATTTGACTTTGATTATGACATCAACTTATATCAAGTTTTGTGCAAGCATACTCCATGTATGTGCATGCATGCATGGAGAGGAATGATGGGGGTTGTGGAAAATATTGCAATATGTATTACACTATAATAATGAAAACCACTGTCCTGTCAGGAAATATTTGTAAATTTCTGTGTTTATTGGAAGCCTAATGACAGAATAACTTGATGTTAACATCTTTTGTGCCTCTCACAAGAATTCATGTCTTTTTCAGTTCAGTGAATAAGTGTAACTGTTTAAGATATTTCACCCTATATTTTGGTTAAGCATAAATGTTAATATGAAAACTGGCATTTGAAATAGAAGTTCAGAAAAGTATGCAGTAATTTTTTAAAATGGCAGTATTTTCTGTCAGGTTATATATTAGGCATGTAATGCAATAATAAGCCACTTCCTATCCTTGGTTTATTACAGGACCAAGCACAGCGCATCATGGAACTGTGCACAATGAACAATGCTCTAAACAGCAAAGTGGATAGACAGACAGAAGAAATTAAGTCTAGATGTTCTGAAATTGATATGCTGCAAACACTGGTCCAGGAGAACCATAGTAAGATGGCAAAGGCTCGTGAGATCAATCGGCATAGTGTAGTGGGCATTGAAACCAAGCTAGAACGTATTGCTGCTGACTCTCAGATTCAAGTGACAGCCCTACAGTCACAGCTAGCTGATGAAGTCAAGTTGCGGTCTGAACTGCAGGAACAACTACGTGAATCTGAAGAAAATATTGCCCAGAAGGAGGCTGAGGTAGAGGGGTTTTCATATTTAATTCTTCTGTAAAAAACTGAAGCTTTCAGGCTACTAATACCAGAGTCTGTTGTACACCATCTTCAGTCATTTCATTCTCTCACAGTCTGTGTCCATTACATAGGTTTCAGTAATATCTTCCCATCTATTCAGTCTTTTTAAGTGATTTGTGCACCAAAATTCTGTGTGTACATCTTATTTCCTGCCTGTTATAACCTTAGCATCCTAACTATACCAGCTGATCTAATGTGTATATTATAACATAAAATATTCCAAATTAGAAGTTCATATTTACTCATGTAATGTTAATCTCCTGACGTGTGAATTGACTTTTTTTGTTATATCATTATTGCACCCAATTTACACTGTTAAAATTCTTTAATTTTTTCATTTAACATTCTTTTTCTTTATATTTCAGCGTTTCAAAGTAATGTATCTTTTTCTTCAGCAGACAAATATCTTCCATTTATTTTAAAAGCTACACCTTTTTTTTCTTAATCATAGTATTTATATACATATCCTCAAATTGTATTGGTGTCTGTTTGCAAGAAATAATTTTCATATCATTTGGGAGCTTCCTTTCTTCCCGTGACTCAGTCATTTTGCTGTTGTAGTTATTGTTTATTTATATTGTAATTCTAATGCACAAATCCTTACAGTTTCTGCCTTCACAGAAGAATACATGTTCCTGGATGTCTCTGACTTTGTATTTATGTGCATACAAGTTTGAAGATATTGTAACGTGTTTTGCTACTGAAGACGCCGTTCGGATTGTTAATTGGTTTATTTAACAACTTACAAGTTGTAGCTACAATTAATTATAACACTGTTGAGAGTTTACACACTATTCTATTCACGGTATCCTCAGTAGTCTTCACGTATTTATAACGCAGGAGCTATACGAGTCTCTGTGAATTACACACTCCCAATATAACTGTTCTATGGCACACACAAAATCTTGAAGTTATCAGTTATCACGCACTATAAAATCTTCTAACCACGCGTTCAGTTCTTCTTTCCATGACTGCTGCTATATTTCAACTGTCTTTGGTGGCTGCTACATTTTAACTGACTCCTTAGGCAGTGTGGTTCTCTTATAAACCCTCAGCCAGACAACGGGAAAGCTACTTGTTTCCTTGTTGCCTAGTCGCCGTGTTTACAGATGTTGCTTGGAATGCTATCGAGAGTTGTTTATTGCATAGCAACCGTGGCATCCCCCGCTACGTCACTATTGTTACCTGCCACATCACCGCGGGGGAGGGGGCGGAGCGCTGACCAGCCCGTCACCCTAGCAGCAACAGCGCTGTTATGCCACCGCTGGCAGGGGAGGGGGCATCCTGCATAGCGCAAATATGTCACAGTATTATTTGTTAAAAGGAAATCAGATTTCAGATCAAGATCTTTTTAAAATGGACCAGGTTTGAGTATGAGTATTGCTAAACCTTTTGGGATCTGTGGTAGACAGTGCTGTAGCAGGGTTCCCCCCCCCCCTTCTTCCCCCCATCATGCTGGTAAAATGTGCTTCATATTTAGAGGAGAAAATTTTTACCAGAATCTACCATGCATCTGATCTGACAGAATTGTTTCATTTTAGTTGCTTGCTGGGAATATCATATCACTTCAGTAAGCAGAAGTCTCACTGTACTGTTTTCAGACTGCACTAGGGACAGTAAGTTCTGAGTTCCAATCTGCTGAAGTAATACTGCAGTGTAATACTGCTTCTTATTGGAAAAGTTTAAGTAGTGGGATAACATTCTTAACATATTCAGTATCATTTGAAATTTGTGTTATGTTCTTTCATTTATATTTATAGATGGCAGGATAATGCAGTGACATTTTCTGAGGATTTAAATGATGAGTTGTGTTATTAATCATCATATTACTTTACCTAAAATTGACCAGTACTTTTATTTTTAGACCAATAAATATTAAATTCACAATAGGTCTTAATTTATAAGATTGCTGTCTGAATGAAAGACTGTACTATTTTGGTACAAGATAGTGAGTGTATACAGTATATATGGGACATGTGGTAGCTTAGTTGGTTGAGGTACTATGCTACAAGCTGGAAGGTCATGGGTTTGTTTCCCAATGATGTTATTGGATTTTTCAGTTGACCTAATCCTCCCAGCTGCACTATGGTCCTGTGGTCAACTCAGCCTCTAACAGAAATGAGTACCAGGAATCTTCCTGGGGCTAAAGGATGGCTGGCATGTAAGGCTGACAACCTCACCACCATTTGTGACCTGATTGTCTAGAAAATATGGGAACCTTGATATCTCACAAACCTATGGTTCTCCATGGCCTGTTACAGGGATAGCTTTTTTTTTACCTTTGTATAAAATATGTGTATGAAATTAATGTGATGATTAACAAATAGTGTTCTAATTAACTTATAATGTTAAAAGAAAACGTATTTTAAGGTATAAAATTTCCAATTCAGTTTGAGTGTAGATTCTTTTTTAAATTCTCATGGTAATGGATATGTTAATGGTAAAAACTGATTCACAGTAATGTGGATCTCAGTCACAGGAGGCATTTCAGTGACTAGACATGGTGAAATCAGGACGTCTGATATGTGAGAGTAAGTGTCTTTCCTTTATTGGAAAATATATTTTTCAGCTTTTGTCCATGCGAGAGCGAGAAGCCTCCCAGATTACTGAAATGAGATCTGAATTAGAGCTATGCCAGCAGCAGTGTGTTGAGTTGCACCTGCAGGTAGATTTTCTGCAAAGAGAAGCTGATAGTGCAGTTAAAAACCTGGAAAGTAGCAACAAAGCTCTTATTTGTGAGCTAGAAGAGAAGTTACACAGAGAAAAACAGGAGTGTCACAAGTTGAGGGAACAATTGATGGTGAGTGGTACAGATATGACTACAGAAGTGATACAGGTTTTTTGCTCTTTAATATTAAGACAGCACTGCACAAATTTTATGGCTTAACACAGAAAATTGCAGAGACTTATTAGTATTGGTTTAAGACGAACCTCCATTCTATGGGTTTTGGGGTCACTTCTTACTCAGAACTGTTTTCAGATTTTTCTGTGCATGAATTGAAAACTTCATCACTACCAAAGGTTAAGAGAAGTGGAGGATATATGGCCATCACTTTCAGAGACCACGTTAAACTGTATGTATCCACATCTGACCATCACTTTCACTATCATCCCCTCATTAGGGGTACTTGATTCATCTCGGTATCGTGTCGGAAATGGATTCCTTCACTTTGCCAGGGAAAAGGTGACAAAAATTATACAACTATAACAGAAAGCATTCGTTAAGAGAAATTTAACAAAGCGTCTTTACATTGGATTTCAGCAGGTGTTCAACATTTATTTTTAAACATTAACATTTGTGGAGTTGTCTTTAAGGTCTTAAGTTATACATTGTCTAAAATGAATACTACATTTTAATGAAATAGCTCACCCTAAACTACATACCAGTTCATACTCAAAATTTGCTTGTAGCATATTAAATAAATTCTCACCCATATTTCAACTAAACTAATTTCAAGCAAAACTTGATGCTCTTGTGTCCTTTAAGAATGTATATTGCAGTCTTTTAGTTTATGACACTATGTAGTCTTGTATACTGTAACTGACATTTCGGACGAATCTGATCCCTCTATCTTTGGGGTACCCTATGTATTCAAGAGCATTTCATGATGTCTTACATTTCTTGATTCTGAGAGAAATGTATTTACATTTTTAGATATGGAATTAAGGATTTTATGAGTGTAAATAAAATTTCCTGTCTTTGACCCTGTCACAGAAGAAGGAAGGTGAACTAAGTGAGTCGCTAATATCACAGGAAAACACATTAGCTTCAAGGGAAACAGAACACGAAACCCATGTAACTATGCTGGAAACAGAACTTAAGCAGGCTGCTGCTGACAAAATGAAACTGCAACATAGACTTCAAGAGGCTCTTGATAAAGAAGGTATCGTTCAAAGTATATTTTGTATTCTCTATAAAAGATTATCATATCTAATTCTGCCTTGCCCGATTGGAAAAACAATATATAATGCCAAGTTTGGTTTCATATCAATAACAACATGAGTTTTGAACAAAGTTTAAATAACTTAAATTCATATAACACTTTCTTCTTCATACATATTTACATTTGAATATGAATAGCATAAGTTATAGTTATGTGTAATTTTGAGATGAGAAAGAGTTCCTGTCATGACCAGTAGCTAACATTGGTGCTTCATGATCGCCTCTTTCCACACAGTTTCCAGTTCAGCCCAGCTTTTGATGCTACATAACCTATCCTCTTGAAAAGCATGGTGACCATATTTCACCAACTGGACTGAGTTTTTGCATGCCAGGTGACTTCTCTTACCACTATTCTCATGTCATTTTCTGCTATAGATGTCACTGAAGTGCAGAGAAACTTATTGAAGCATGTAAAAGTTGAAGTTGTCAGTTGTTTTTCACTTGTTTTCTGCCATTTCTGTTTTCATTGTGATAAGCTCAAAATCAAGCTTCCACTGAAAAAAATGGCTGGCCCATTTGTAAAATCCCAATCTGGGGCCATGGCAGTAAATGTTTAAACAAGAAAAGCAACAAAGAAGTGTGACAGACCAAGCACCAGTTAGCATATTAACTTTTGTCGTAGCTTTTCTAGGCATGTTTTAATTTAATCCATTTTAAAACTATACTCAACTTTCATTCAGCAGGAAGTTATTTATTTAGTATTTGTGTATCGAAGTCAGAGGTCTCACCTTGTTACAATGGGACCTTGTATTTTTTTTTATCAAACTCTTAGATACTAATTAATATTTAATTAACAGTGAAGCTTGTGTTGTAATGATATGCCTATTATACACTTGTTTTACTTGTTTACAGAGGAAGATAGCCACAAGTTGGAGTCACTGGAGGCACTACTGAAACGCTTGGAGCAGGGTCTAGCTCGCCTGGAGGAGGAAAATCTTAAGTTAAAAGGACAGAGCAAGTCAGAGGAAGATGGCAAAGGCCCTAGCAATCTCACTGAAGAACTGGAGAAGCAGAAACTAATTCTGCTGGCTCAGGTGGAGAAGCTAGAGTCACAGCTGGAGAAAGTGACAGAGACTTCAATTCTTGACAGGCAAGCTGCCAAAATAGCACAGAACCAATTGTGGAAGGTGAGATTTAATTCTGATTTGTTGACAACTGTTGCATTTAGTATGAACATTCAGTATGATTTGATTACTCTAAGGATCCTGAATTATTCTGTTTTGGATTTTAAGCTTTAAAGCCATTAAAAAAGGGCTATTTCACAGATTTGATATCATCCTTTTTTCTTTCCTGTTTAGCAGTGCTGCTGTCAGTATTTAGCAGTTCAAAAGAAATAAATGGTGCTGTTTTGTGTAATCGATTGAGGTCTGAAATCTTAAATTTATATTTTACAAAGACAGCAATAAAAAAAATCAGTGGTGTATACATATGCCTGTAACATTGTCACGTTGTAAAGTATAATCTGTTCTACAATAAGCAAATGAAATTATTGGAATAGGATATTCTTTTCCCTAGGACTTTCCAGCATTCTGTACAAAGCTTGCTGCATTGCAGTGTATTTCTTGGACTTGTTTACTCAGGTGGGGTAAAAGATGAAAGATAAAGTTGTCCCTGTGCTTAACTAATATGGGGGTGGGGTTGTATAGATCCACATTTTCTTGAACTTGGCACCAGCTGTAGGTGACTGGTCAGCTTCACGCCCCTCCTGTTTTACCCCAGGGGAAAGATCCCCCAGTGCTCTTTGGATAGGAGGCTGGGTGGGTCTCAGCTGATCTGGAGGACATGGAGAGGAGAAAATTCTTGACCCTACCAGGACATGAAATCCAACCCCTCTGTCTGCCTCACCAATGGCAGAAATGTCTTGGTGGTTATGTCAAGTAGGGAAATTGAGATGGAAATATGTATGATCACATGCAGAAAACTTGTAAAGTGTACCACATATGTGTATCCTATAGGTCAGAGGTTCCCAAACTTTTATATGTTGCGCACTTGTTAAAACATTTCACACACTCCCTTCCAGCACAAGTGCAAAGAAATTTGACCTAGCTATGAGTATACTTTTTTTGTTGTTGTAATTTACTATACATTATTCAATGCATTTAATTTAAATGAAACTTCATACCTGGAGTAGTGGGACAGATGTACTTGCCACTTTGAACATAACTTGCCTCAGCAATTTGAGAGGCTGTAATATTGTTATCACTGATAGGAGGATTTATGAAATACTCCACTGAAATGGACTCAGGTGGCATCATATAAATACCAGGTTCCATGATGATTGGCTCAGGCATTTAAGTAACATTACAGTTATTACTGCTACAGTTTGAATGGATGTAATGTTCAAATTACTGATCAAAGGGATTTATGAAATACGTCATTGAAATGGCTTCACGTGGCATGATATACATACCAAGTTTCATGCAAATTGATAAAGACATTCAAGCAACATTAAGGTTTCACCTCAGAAATTTGATGGGCTGTATCAGTATTAATGATAGGAGGGTGGTATGAATTATGCCGTTGAGATGGGCTCAGGTGCCTTGATATGCTTACCAAGTTTCATAAGTATTGGATCAGCCATTCAAAAGCTAATATGGTGGAATACCTACACAGATAGCAAGGCAATCTCATAAGCCTGCATTTATTTTTTTTTTTGCAAAATGAAGAAAACAAGCTAAAAATTCAGTTCTGGGGACATATCTGTTTTCACCATGGGCAGAAAGTGGAAGGGCAAGAGATTTTTTTCATGGATTCATGCTAGCATTAACATGCATTACAATTCTATTGGATCAGGTAGTTTGTGTGTTGCTGCTGAAAGCAAAAGCAGCTGTCTGAAAATATTTGATGTTGGAAACTTGAAAAATCATTGTTGGAATCGAGACTGAAATATTTTTTTCTAAATTTGATATAGAAAATTCAAGACTCACACACGCCTAGTATCTTCTGTTTCCTTTGATCTATTATGAGCTCCTAGGAATATCAAAAGTTAATTTAGGGGAGTTGGTATGTACCATAAAGGTACAAAATGCAAACACTGGTACAGCACTGAGAGTTAAACTTGTGACCAGTGATGAGTCACAGGTTCATTTGAAAAGGGTTGTGGTAATGAAGGTGAGACAGAATTCCTGGGTTTTTAGACTTTTTCCATCATCTGCTATTCTAGAAAATAGAAAACGCCACATTTCGGAAACTGGATCTGTTTCCATCCTCAGGTGAGGGGTGGAAGATATCTACTCAGTTGGCCCCCTTAGAAAGAGCTCTTTCTAAGGGGGCCAACTGAGTAGATATCTTCCACCCCTCACCTGAGGACAGAAACAGATCCAGTTTCCCAAACATGTTTACTGTTTTCTAGAATACCAGACGATGGAAAGAGCGCTAAAGCCCAGTAAATCTGTGTGTTATACACCATCATCAGAACCCTTGAAGTCTATAAGGTGAGACACATTGAGCTCAGCAATAGTTCATGCAGTTTGCTGTTGCTTTTGCACAGTAATGTAATAGATAAGTGCTATGGAGGTTCAGCTGACATTTTTTTGTAGCTTGTTGTAAAGTATTGTCATGATTTAGTGACTAGATATGGGGTTTGGATTGGTAATAAGATTTATTGAATACTTATAATTACTTTTAGTTACAATTTATAACTCTCTCACTAATTCACGCACTCTACTTCTCACTACAAGACTCACAAAGTCTTCTGTGTCTTCACCAGATTCCAGCATTGTCTTCTTCTGCTCATATCATTGCTAGGTTTCTGCCTTTTCACAGTTGACTCATGACATAAGTGCTCATATGTGTGGCAGACTCACATTCTTGATTGAGTGAAAACACCAGTTGGTTCTCCATATATAGCCTCAGCATGGACCATATAGAAAACACCGCTTCCAACAATTCCTTTCTTGTTGCTTGGTTATTCGTTACTGCGCAAATGTGTTTACCATGCCATTGCCTAGCAATGGATGTCTTCCTGGTTCTGCTGTTCCAGGTTTCATCAGTCATGTCACAGTATAGTTTATAGGTATCACATCAGCCTTTGGGGTTTGGCCATGTAATGTTTTTGCACATTTATATCAAAGGACATTCATCTGTTTCTTACCTTTGTCTAGTTACAGTTTATTATCTTTGCTGCAGAAAGAAAAGGAACTGTCAGATGCAAAGATCGATCTGCGCATAGCCCAACGTGAAACAAAGACTGCAGAGGACCAGATGAGAGCATTGCGGGAGGAGAAACAGAAGTTGGGAGAGAGATTGCAGGAAGAAATGAATGCCCATATGGAACAGCTAAAATCAGAACATGACAAGGTGGATCAATTACATCAACAGATTACATCATTAAGCGCAGAGCTACAGGACATGACAAAGAAAGAAGAAACAGCCAGAAAGCAAGTTGATGTAAGTTGCAAAATTGGTTTATTTGAAGGCTGTATTTTTTGCACATTTTAGTTCAGTTCAATGCACATTGTGTTTGGGTTGTTAACAGCTAGATCTAATGTGGACTCTATGTATGGCTTTCTCATTTTATCCTCTGAAAAAGTCAAAACTTTGTGAATGGGGGAACAATGCTAGCTCCCAGCCATGTTTCAAAGTCTTTTAAACTGTGTATCCATTCTCTATAATTAAGTATAATGGATTCTGTTAAAAATAATTTTGCTTAAAGGAAATTCCTTTGGTTGTTAATAGTATAGTAAGTAGAAAAGAGATTCTTCAGACCGGTCTCCTGAGATTTGATACTGTGTAATCGAGTAGATAGTTACCAATGTATTGGAAGAACTGGCTGCCTCCATATTCAGAGTAAAAAAAAATTGGTAACCATATACAGTGAAATTCCTGTTTAAGGTTTTGTTGGAGAGCAGTGGATTTGAACAATAAACTGAAGAACATATGAAATGTAGGAAATTTAACACAGATATTTCTGACTTGTAATAACTGAAATTAGGCATTTAATAAGCAAGAAGCCTTGAATGGAAGAACACTAAATGGAGGTTCCCTTGTACCAGACTTCATGGGACACATGCCAGAAGACCACACTCTTAATATTCATTCTCATGGAAACCCCAAATTTTATATCAGATTCTTCAGTTTATATCTTCTACTTAATTTCTTTTGTTTAACTACTCATTCTCTTCCTAATTTTCATTGAGGTGGAGAAAGCTTTGCTTGCCCAGAAGAAGATGGAACTTGAATCCAGTAACACTTCAGCACAAACACTCCATAATGATCTGAATGTGGCCCACAAACAGATGAGGGTTTTGGAGCAACAGGTGGCAAATTTGCAGGCAGAAACCAAATGTTTGAGTGAGACACTGAATCATCTCCGTGAGGACAAGGCAAAACTGGAAGCTGAGTTGAAGGATCAGAAGACAAGGAATAGCAGTTTGGAATTGGCAAGTGATTCATTCTTCTCTCTTTATATCTTATATGAGTTAAAAGCGCTAATTTATCTCATCTGCATAGATGCAAGAAGGTAAATTATAAATTGATGATTCAACTTAGTGAACCTTGAGCAAAGTTGTTGCTGCAATACCTGAAAGTCTTTGAAAATAACTCCACTGTTTGTCTATCACTGTGTCTTTAATTTTTAATGCTGAAAAAAGATGATAATATAATTTTCTCATTATACAGTTTGTTCATATATTTTGGGTCCAGGTGTTTTTGGTATTTTGTTTCCAGGCGCCTTGAATTTTTATTCTTGCAACCTACTCAGAAAATATGTATCAGAATCATATTAAAGTTAATTGTATTATGTTGTTATCTTTCACGGTATGGAACTAGGGGATTTAAATCTTTTGGCTGGCAACTAAATTCTTTCTTGGGAATGTTAACTGAAAGTGGTATTATTATTGAAAACAATGTATATGTCTTTGGAACTGTAACTTTTAAAACATATTAGAAAGAAAGTCTATTGCCATTTTTTTTTTTTTCATTTTTATTTTTTTTTATTTTTTACTAGTATAAGAATTGCTGTTTCCAAAAAAATATACTGATATCTGAAACAAGAAAATATTGTGTTTATAAATTGAACTGTACAACACGGTTATGGATTTTTTCCTTCCCACCTTGTGACAGAATTATGATTTAGCAGTTCATCTTGGAATGGTAAGTACAGAAACATATGTGTGTACACAGGCAAACTTTTCATTTCAAGCACTGAAATTTGGTAACAGCTTCTTGTTCTGGGCTAAATGCAAATGGCAACACAAGAATGATCCTGCAACCAGCCAGTGATCAGTGTATGAGCTTTTAAGGTGTGTCACTTGCCTGGCTTATGGGTTTGGTCTTCTTTGTTTGGACTGAGCAAAAGGCTTCCTTGCACTCATTTCCAACTAATTTTGAACAAAGGTTGGGCAAAACTTTTGATAGTCTATTTTGCTAGATTGCTTTAGCTGTTCAGTATTCAACTGATGAAAAGAATATCCTTTCTTTTTTGGGAGGGGAGGTTGCTGCCCGCTGCTGTGTTCTTGACTAATTGAATAGCTATTAGTCATTCTGTCTCCTATATTGACTTACCCCCTGTGCTGAATAGTCTCCAGTAGCAACAGGTTTCTTTAACTTCCCCACATTCAGTTGAATGAAGTTGTCTATTAGTGCTAACTTTTATTCATCTTCTCTTTCCACATCATTGCTCTCCCCATATTGGCTAAGTCCTCCAGCATATCTTAATGACTTTGTATGGTAGTTCCACAGTATTTGATTATTCTTTTGTGAAATAAATTTGGAGAGGAGGAGGAATTTTTCTGTGTAAAAATTCTTGACCTATCCCTTCTACTCCCTTAATGTTGCATTTTTCCTGCCATTTTCCAAGAATACATTGATATCTTGGCCAGGTTTAACCAAGCATGTTGCGCAGTTTATAAATCTTTGTTTTGTTTCTTGGGAATATGTTATTTGAAAGTAACTATCCCTTTGAAGATAACAGTAAGTTCATCCATAGCTAACGTTTGGATGAATGGTAAAATTTGGCATAGGCATCAGTGGTCTTACAAAAAAGATATAATTTTCCAAAGCCTGTCTTAATTCTTGTAACCTTTGTCTGGTTGACTGGTCTTTCGATGTGTCACTGACATGATGTCCAGTTTACATTGTTGTATTCAACAACAGCTATACAGTGCAATTTATTTGCATACATCATTATTGTTAGGTATATCACCTACTACTAATGTGTTCATCAAACTCACATTCACTGTCAGGTGACATGCTTCATCAATCACTCCAAACCAGTTCCCGTTCACTATTTTTATTATTCCTCAAGCATACACACTCTTAACTTCTTATAAATCATAGCTTCTGTCTTCATACTGTAGTATGAAAACAAAAATAGAGCATATTAAAGTGAGCACAGATGAACTCAACCATTGATGCAACTGAATGCATGTTACACAGCAAGTGTACCTCTTCAACCTTTGCCTCTACTAATTCATATATGTCACTGAAAGTGCTGATGCTTCTACTTTCTTCTACATCTGCAGCTCAAGTAAGTAACTGCTTAATTTGCATTTCAGTCTAGCTTCATCTTATTCTGAATAGGATTTTATTGGTCAGGACATTCATGTGAAAGCAAATGTGAAGAATTGAATGCTACATCCGTCATCATTATTAAGTTTGTATACAGAATTCTTACAGCAACATCAGGATATGGCTAACTTTTGCCAGAAGCAGTAATTTATATATATATATATATATATCGTCGCATATTTACTAGATAACGCGACAAGAAATTTGTGCTGGTTCTCAGATTTGAACAAATATTTGATTGGACAGTCTCTTTTACACTCACAAGTACAATTATTCTCAACTTATAGCGTCGTCAGACGTTTCCTCTTCACTATTACAATTGCTTGCACTGCTGATCTTGGTGAAGTATCTTCTGCTCGGAGCTCAACTGTCCTTGATCCCTTGTCAGATATGAACTCTACTGGTCTCTTGTAGCAGTTGGACTCTTATAATCTTGCACCCGGACTAAATAAGGAATACCTTGTCGAAGGGTTAATTTTGCCCCCTGCTATGCAAATGCTGCTTCAAATAATTCGTTACTTGGATATTGCTAGCTGTTGTATAGCAACGGATGCGTTCTGATTCCTAGCCATTGTCGCAGGAACATTGGTCGTTGCCTAGGAAATCAACCCTGATCTTCTTAACCATTCCAGCTTTCTGGTGGTACACAACAAAAAAAAAAGAATATATATATATAAATTCATACTAAGTAAGATAAATAACATCTTACTAAGTATGTTAAATACTCCCTGATGCATACAGAGTAGCATAAGGGTTGTATCACATTGACACAAGGAACAGCATTTTCATGCATATTTATTCAAAGCATTACCTAAGAGTCATATTCTGGTAATAAATATATACCAGTGAGTTTATATTGATATTAATATACTGAATGATTTATTAGGTAATAAGTCATTGTTCATGATGAATGACTGAGCTTCCTTCTGTTCCAGAATAATAACTTACTGAAGGAGTTGTGCACAATGCATGATGATGAACTGGAACATATGGAGATGCTTAAGAAGGCATATGAGGAGAAAGAAGCTTTACTAAAAAGTGAAAAGTAAGTTTCATATATTGTCAGAGCATATGGTTTAAACTTTTAGTTACATGGNTGTCGCTTGCAGAATTCTTATACTTTTTCTTCTACCCTGAAGATGGGGGCGATACGTTCCTCCGAAACGTCGGTTAACACCACATATACACGGTGCCAAATCCCAGAAGACTGCTTTCTTCATTTCTGATGTACTTGAAATTCCAAATAGACTGCATGAGGAAATAGCTTGCAAAATAGTTAGAAAGTACAGGATCTCAGTATTCATCAAACTGTAAGCATGAATACAATAATAAATTATTTTCAGTCACAAGTGTTATGTTTTTGGACATTATCTATTGTCCTGTTTATTTTTCAAAGCACAGTGTTTCAGAGACTGGATTCTGTCCCCATCCTCAGGTAAAACCTACCTATTTCCAGAGATAGGAACTAGCTCTATCTGTTGGACCCAACTGAGTAGGTTTTACCTGAGGATGGGGACAGAATCCAGTCTCCGAAACGTTGTGTTTTGAAAAATAAACAGGACTTTTTTTTTTAAATAGACAGGACAATGGATAATGTCCAAAAACATAATACTTGTAGCAATGTACCATCATCACAAACTTTAAATCTTATTTTCAGGCACCATGACATTACTTAATTAAAAATGTACATAATTTAGTATAAGCACAAAATCATCAGGCCCTAAATACAAGTTGCAGCAATAGTAGTCTTCAAGAAAATTGAACTGACCAGAATGTGAAGAAAATTTCATAACAGAATGCATCATTTATACCTATACATTAGGAAAATTAAGTGATAAGAGGCCATTTGGGACACTTAAGCATACATTGAAACCTCCATTTGGGATGTTCTTTGGGATCAGGAGATTTTAACACAGCTGAGGAAAATCATATGTGAAGGAAATTTAACAGTGACATTACTGACCTGGGATCATTGACATTGAACATTTAAGACAAGAGGAGACATTGACGTGAGGAATATTAAATGGGTGTTCTGCTGTATTTTGGGCTGTAGTGATCATCTGTCTTACAGTGGATATATTGTCATCAGTTGTCTCCAAAATCATCCATGAATATAAAACATAAATTAATTGTTACAGTGATGTCTGTAATTTACAGGGTCTCTCTCCAATCAGAAATAGAATCCTTACAGTCTGAGCTACAGACAGCTTGTCTGCAATCAAATGAAGAAAAGTCTCTTCGTGTCCATGCTGAATCACGAATCCAGTCTCTGGAAGCAGAGCTACAAGCCTGCACTGATGATTTGTCATTGTTGCAGTCACAGGTGGATGATTACCGCAGTTTAGCTGATCAGCGCACACAACAGGTTAGTACAGAATCATAAAGCCATGCTGGATCAGATATTCTGAGTGATTATTGTAACTATGATTTACAAATTTTTCTCTTCTTAGATAGCAGAACTAGAAGATAAATGCTGTATAGCTGAGTTGGGACTGCGTAACATTCAGCGCCAACTACAGGCATCTAAAGATGAAAGTAATGCCTTGAAAGAAGATCTTACAGAACATCTGACACAGATAAACTCTCTGAAGGAATCCAATTTCAAGCTTAATCACGATCTTGAGGACTCCAGTGACCAGATTCAGCAGCTGAAAATTAAGTATGCACTTCATTACTTGAGCTATTTTGATTAAATTTTTTAATAAATATTGGTGAGAAAAGAAAAATATTTTGATTTGGCCTTCAATTTTTCATTGTACTTGAAATCGCTGTTCTCATGAGAAACATTTGTACATATACAGAAAAGAACAGAACCTTTACATAGCAAGACCTCATAGGAATTCATGAAAGTGAAACACACCCCCTGCCCCCCAATATACCAATATATTAATGTGACTATTTTATGTAGATGACAACAGCAATGTTCCTCTATAAGATTATTTGTCTCCATTGAAAGACACAAACTACAAGGAAGATAGGTCACAAATGGATATAAAATATAAAACATGTGATACTTGAAACTGGAAGAAACATTTATTTCTTGACATATCTTCCACCAACATTGATACGCTTGTCCCATCACTTTGCCAGTGCATCAAAACCTGCAGCATAAAAGTCTTTTGACCATTGTCTCAGCCACTTCCGCGTGTCCTTTCCAACCTCTTTGTCATCAGCAAAACGTTTGCCACCCAGCTGTGAACTGCTTTACATGACAAACACTTTCCACCATAAACAGGAAACATTTATATGTGAATATCCTTTGCACTGAGTCCTGCCCACAGAAAACACACAACAGGACTCTGCACTTCGATAGTGCACTCCTCGAGCATGGTCGCCATTTTGGCTACTGAAACCAGACTCTTAACATGTGCTTCTGCTATCTAGGCTGTCATTAACCTCGAGTGTGCTGCTACATAGTGACATATATAGAAAACCCATTATATTCATTACAACTGTTTTACTTCAATTTGTGACCTATTTACTGACACTCCCTCATTAATTATGTGTGATTTATGTCTTATACATGCCTCTGAAGTAAATACTGCCAATAATAATTTTCTTTCAAGAAACAAAATACTGTATTTTCTCAAATATCCCTCCTCTCAGAAGGAGCTAGGTACCCCAAATGGTAAGAAATGAAATATACACAAAAAGTATTTAAATTTATTGAAGTATTAAATTACACATGTATAAATGTGCATAACACTGTGAGGTTCGACTATTATGTTAATCGTTCTTTGCGATGATACCCCACACCCAAATTGATACTTCATACTAAAATATACTTGAAGTGTTTTTTTCCATTAAACATATTTTATACTTTAGCCTCGATGAAACTACCGATATGTGCACTTCGGACGATAAGGGTTAAGTAAGAAGTAAAGGGAAAGTTTTATGCAGAAATTTTAATTTGAAGAAGTTAAATAATGTGAAAACTTTGTAGCTCTTGAATACTTGCTCAAAATTGTGGGCACCAGTAAAGCTTGGAAAAGTATTAGAAAGAGTACCAGAATTTGAACTAAAAAGAATCTAAAATATTAGAAGTTACAGCATGATGAACCATAGTTTGATGAATAGTGCTCAGTCTTGTTAGATCAAATAAAGCAGGCCAAATTGCGGTTATTACAGAATCTGACTAGAATGATTGGAGATAATCTGAACAATATAAGATGCAGACCTAGTGAAACAAGCAGTAAGAACAAAAATATTAGAGCTTAATATGGAGATATATTAATTTAAGAGGGCTACCAACCTAGAATTAACTTTGATAGAATATGAGGATAGTAATCTACTTGCAGATTCACTCAAAATTACTTCTTAAATATACATATTGTCTGAAGCTTACCGTTGAACCATTAATACTATCCTAATTTTGTTGATGTTTTAAATTGCTATTGAAATGTTCAAAAGGTATATATCACTAGATATTGATAATATTCTGTCATAGGTGGTAAAGCATTATGTTAGAAATGTTAGACTGAAATTCTCCTTCTGCCACTGACTTCATGGGCAGTTGTCCTGAAGTGTCTTTCCTCTTTTCATCTCTCCTAATTTCTCATACATATTTTAGTTATGTTCTTGGTGTTTCTCCATCCATTAATTCACCTGATATATCACAGCCACTCTGAGTTGGAAGCTACCTTGACAGAGATGGAAGTATACTACAGACACCGTGAGTTCAAGAATGATGCAGTAATTCAACAGCAAACCAAACTTATTGATTACCTACAAAAAAGGATAGAAGAGGGTAACAAGAAAAAGAAGGTTTGTATGAACACTGACATAATCTTTGTTCAAAACCTGCTTTCTCCAAGTTTGGTTATAAATAAGCTAGACACAATTTAACACAGTAACAATTTAACAGTAGCATGTTAGGCTACCATTCTGGAAGATGTTCTGCAAAGCATTATGCTGTATGTGTATATATATGAGTGTGTGTGTGTTTGTGTGCATGTACATTCTGTTTTGTATATTTATGAGTGTCCCATGTTCTTGACATGAATGTTCACTTTGTCACCAATTCTTCCTTTTCTAACCAAATATATTAAAAGACATGTCATTTCTAGGGAAGTTAGAATCAGTAATCCATTCTATAAATATGGCCCTGATGCCAGATTATCAGATGGTTCTTATACCACTTTTCCAATGTATTGTGGACAATTATGTGTATATGTCTGAAGACTGTCTTGTTAATTTAAGTCACCTGTGTTGATACAGGAACAATTTTACTGGTCAAGCATTAAGTCTGTTTAACAGATGTACAAGTTTCGGTAGTGTATGTTCCATTTGGGCTAGCAATGTGCCACCAGATAATTAAAATTATTAAACTGGAGGAATTAAAAAAAAATATGTCTTCATTTAATAAATGGATGTGTTGTTTTGCTTGAGATTAGCTGTGTATATTCTGTACCTCTTATGCTACAACCTCTTGGCTTTGTATTTGCCAGGTCAAAGATTTGCTGCTTGATTAGAGGTCCCACAATTGTTCTTTGAGCATGTGCATCACCATGCAGATGGCAGAAAGAGAAAACAGTTGATAGTACTCCCTTGCTGTTGCATGTCCACATAATGGCTTCTAGATCAGGATTTGCCACTGCCAAGCTTACAGTTGAAGAGTTCTGTCTGCTGGGATATAATGCTGCATGATCTATTGAAAGTCAGTCAGCATTTTGGAGGAAACTGTCACCTCCATCTTCATGTTTAAGGAATAAGCCAAGCAAGAGACCAGTATGAAGCAGGTAGCAAGCACAGTGCATGGCTTGCAAAGATGTAGGATTGTGTAGAAGCAGAAGGACCTTGGATGCCAACCCATCTGTTCCTGTTGGCACTATTAGAGAACCAGGGCAAGCCCGTAGGAGACATATGTTCAGTAAGGTACAAACCTAATCACTCTTCTTCTATCTCCTATTGGTTCACACTGGTTTTCTGACAGAGCCATTGAGAACTGACCAGTTGGCTTCTGCTTCTGTATAAAAACATGTTTTCACAAGACATTTGCATTGCTTGTTGCCTGGTTCATGCTGATTTCATGCTTTGCTTACTCTCTAAGATGGAGGCAACATGTTCTGCCTCAATGCTGGTTGACTTTCAATGGACTATGTAGTATTATATCCCAGAAGACAGAACTCTTCATAACCAGCATTGTGGGAACCTCAGTCCCCCGAGTTTATAGTTATCAAAATGTAAAAAATCAAAAGAGTATTTCTTTGCTCCTTTATAGACTATAGCAGACAGGTTGTTTGGTGGTCGGCAAAAGGAGAACATTTTACTATTAGCTAATGCACCATCAGGAAAAACCAGGCACTTTCCTAGTCATTACCAGCAAACAATCAACACCAAGTCCTTTGCAGAGCATCTGGTACCACGGCAAACACACAACAAAGGTAACAATGTATATGAAAACATATTTTGTCATATTAAGCCATTGTTATTTTTTTTTTTCGTACCATACTGATTCTCATAGAATATAATTCTAATTCTTGCTGCCTTCCTTTCGTTTTTCTATCTTGCTAATGCCACTGATACAAAAGCCTGCTATTGATCTCTATTGTCAGCAAATTCAATCCAGTTTATATTAACAAAATGCATGCCACTGTGATCCATTTTAGTGTTATCCTGTCATCTCTTTCTCAGTCTGTCAAGTTTCCAAGCTCTCCAACAGAATTCTATACATTTTCTTATCTCTGCCATCTCCACTACATGTTCAGTCCATGACACCTTCATTTAACTTCCAGACACTGCTTGCCGAGCTATATAAATTGTCCATTTCTTATTGTGTAACATATTCTGTTCCTGCTCGATTCCCATGCTCCACTAAGACATACAGAATTCTACTAGTTTTTAATGAAATTTCAGCTACTATAATCAGATTACATTAATTTAGTGTTTTTTTTCCTGCATTGTGCCATATACACATATTTTTGAAAATTTAACATTTAGAATATACAGAGTTAATTAATTATGGTGCAAGTAGGATGCCAAATGTTTACAATTTTCATTCAATCTTAAGAGAAATAATTCTATGGAATCTGCCTTTGACATACTTTTGTTGGAGCAGATGCTGACAGTGATGGGATCTCACCTGTAACTGCAATGTCACCCATCACATCATTGCCCAAGAAGGCACTGACACATCTGGTACAGTCTCCTGGGTCCCACACATCAGACTGTTTTGTTCGGCAGCCGTCACTTCAACGCATGCATTACAACATTCCACACAGGTACATTGACATTATTTGGTGCATCAGTCAGCAGAGTACTGTTTTCTGAGGTGTCTCCATCTTCAGGATTGAAGAACAACCAAACAGACAGCAAGAAGAGTGCTTGCTGCTTGCTTGGTTTGACCCTGAAGATGGAAAGAGTTTGTTTCTCCAAAATGTCACTAAATTTTAGTGTGTTATTTTATAGATGGTGTCAGTGCTCATTGAATATGAGTGAGTTTCAATGATACATTACTTTTCAGGTTTGACCAGAAGCTGTGTATGCGTGCTACAAAATGTGCTGCTTGCCTGGATAGTGTTCACTTTGGTCATTATGCTTCCATCTGTCAGGAATGTAGCATCACCTCTCATCCTAAGGTAAGTAAGGCTTATTGCTGCATTATACATACTTAATTTTGTTACATGTTGAGTTAAAATCTGTACTGTTTTCCAGCACAGACATGAATCTTCTCCTACAGTTTTCTAACATAAACTTAACTTTTCCCTTTGTTTTCATACCAGTCCCTTTTGGGTACGCAGAATGATTTTCAGATGGAAGTTGGCTCTAATAATTATTCATTGTCTTTCCTTTGTTGTTGCTTTCTGGTACTAGAGTTACTATGTTTGCTCAATGCCACACGATTGTTAGTCTTTAGGAGTGCCAGATAATCATTAATATAAAGTATGTGATGTTAACAGTTCATGACGAGGAAAGACGTTACATGCCAGAAATATCCTGGTTGTGCACAGGCCCTCCGTCTTCATATTGTAAGATTTCCTAAACTTTTCTTTAATAGGCCATGTGACTGCAGACAGTTCTAAAATGAATGTGAGACAAACCATGAAATACACTTGGATGGACAGTAGAAGGAATGACATATTAAAAAAAATTGGAACATACAAAACATTTAATTTTATCTTTAGAAGTGTTCAAATTCTTTGAGACTTCTTTCATTTATTTATTCAATGAATTAATAAAGAAAACATTCTTTGAAGTTGATTTTAGTTTTCAGAATAGGTTATAGCACTTATAAGCCAGCATGATTCAGAAATATTTTATTTCTATTATGATATTCCATTGTTACTTTTCATCAGAATATTAATATAGTATGAATATTTTATGTTTTGCAAGTTAGGAGTTTTATGTAGAGTGGTAGAGTGACTTTCCCAGTATGATCTGAAAGTATAATATTGAGTTAATGCTTTTGTACATGAAATTCCAATATTAAAGTTAATTAAAATTGTTGATAAGTGATTTAGAGAACTTTTCAGAGACCCAGAGCTGGAGTTTCACTTAAAGTGATAGACAAATTGTCTACATTGCACCAAAATGTAACTTCATATATAAAAAGACAATTGGTACTGAATTTAATGAACATTTTATCAACAACTGTGGAAATATTTCACACATGCAAATGCAGAGGAATAATAGACAAATGTCTTCAAATTGTTTTCTTATTCCTAATGTCTGTCAACTTCTTCCAGTGTTCTCTGGTTTTGCCATCAACATGTGGTATGCCATCAGGGTTTGCAAGGCACTTCAGTCAGTCCTGGAAGAGCACTCAGGTGGACACTGACTCAGCAGTTGGCAGCGAGAGTACCGAATCAGGGCCACAACCCTGTAAAGTGGAAGGCTATGTTAAGATTCCCAAGTATGTCTGACAATCATAGGCAACACCTAACTTCATGTTCATCATATGAAATAACTTTAATAATCGTTTGCAAAGCAGTAAACATTTTTAAATGTTGTGTCCCCTCAACATTAAGATTCTTCCATGTTCCACTTTAGTCTGTTCAGTATTACAATGTTAATGGTGTTCAGATATTATAGTTCAGCTATGTACACAGCCCGCCCTGATACCAGATGAGGGAAAAGGCACCTATATTGTCTAGAAAAGAGAATTTTCATTTAGTATCATGAGGCTCGTGTTTGGATTTTGACTTGGAAGAAATGCAGCGCTTGACCAGGATGATCATGTGCGTGCACTATTACAGTAGTGCAGTATATAACTAGTGAAGGTTAAGCTTTAAAATACAATGTGTAGTTGATTTATTCCTAGTTGTAAACAGGTCTACATTTTATGTAAGATATGAGGTTTTCATGGTGGTGACCATGAAGATTACTGTCTGCTGGAATGTGCTGAAATGTAATCTGATAGATTGTTACTGACATTTCAGAGGAATCTTCTACCCTGAAGATGGAGGCGGTAACTACATGATATTATATCCTAGAAGACAGTAATTATCAGGTGTATATGTTCAACAGTTTTAACATGCTTAATATGGGCTGGACGACGGAGGGGTCAGAGTTTGAGTCCTGGTGGGGTCAAGAATTTTCTCTTCACATTGTCCAGACCAGCTCTGGGGTGCACCCAGCTTCCTGTCAGATGGGCGTCAGGGTCTTTTTTGCTGGCGTTAAACCGGCAGGGGTGTGAAGCTGACCACTCACCTCCAATTGGTGCCAATGTCAAGAAAATGTGGATCTATACATCCACTCCCCCATACAGCTTCATAGCGTAGTGCTTAATTAGTTAAGCACAAGGACAGCTTTACCTTTTTAATATATTGAACACTTATATACATTTGTAAGTAGATAATAGAATAACCAGCATCTGTAATTTTTCGAAAACAATAATATAGAACTTCTAATTTACATAAGTTATATTATGTACAAAAGTGTCCTGTGTATTGGTTTCTGCAGACGAGGCAGGTCTTGCTGGGAGCGTAAATATCTGCGATTGGAAGGGAATGAACTGCAGATATTTGACCATGAACCTACAAGTGAAATGATGTCCCCATCACAGAAGTTCCTGGTATGTCAACCAGAGGGCACCACCAGCATACTGAGCTCTGTGCCCTACTCAGATGTGGTAAACACTGCAAAATCTGATCTTCCATTCATTTTTAAGGTAATGGTTCCTTAGTTGTACATTTATTGTAAGTGTATTTATCCAGGTTCTTATACTTCCCTGTGAAAATACAAATTAATATATTTTCTGGAGCATAAGGCTCTTATATCCTGGAAAATACTGCCAAAAATATTTGTGTGTTTTATAATCTGAAGGTTTTGCAGTCTCCCCCCACCACACACACAGACAAAATGCCTCTAAAATCTTGGTATGTCATGGAGGCCAGATGATGTCATACTTTATCACTTTTTAGAGCGTTCTTATATGTATCTGAGACAAATTTTCAGTGTCCATGGCTTTCATAATTTTTCTGTCTATATCGTGGAGCTAATGGCAGTTTGCAGTACTGATGATGTATCTAGTGTGCTTGCTGTACATGGCAACCAGTAGCTGCATCTGATCCTCCTCCTCCTCTTCCTTCTTCTTCTTAACTATCATCATTATTTAAAATATGTTTCATTAATCATTCCATTTTTATTTGCCATTTTTACTGGAAACATTCTTAGTAGACAACAGAAAATCTAACAGCTTAAAATAATTTTTAGTCAGCCTCAGTCCAATTTTCCTTAAAAAGCCCAAATGGATAGGATTATTTCACATAAATTCTTTAAAATACTTAATCTGGTTTTGAGATTAGCATTGTACTTCAGCATGTTCATCATAACACTGAACTCCAAACAGGAATCATGTTGTAAGTTTTGAGGTTTTCACCGCGATGACAATGAAGAAAGTCATCTTCTGGGTTTAGGCACCGTGTATTCTTCGTTTTGGCCGACGTTTTGGAGGAACCACAGCTGTGACCACAGCTACTGCTCTCCGCATTCCAAGCCATTCAACTGCTCTGAAGATGGAGGCGCTACGTTCCTCCGAAACATTGGCCAAAACGAAGAATACACGGTGCCTAAACCCAGAAGACGACTTTCTTCAGGAATCACGTTGTCACCATCTGCAGTGGAAGTATTCTTTCCACATTACAAATCAAATTTGAAATTGTAACCATTCAAGGCACTGCCCATACTTTTACAGGAAGTCACCACCTTACGGCAAAGGCTACTACTAGAGTTGGTATTAACAGGGTTAAATACCTTTCTGCATCTTGAAACATATTCTCAAAAGCAGTTTATTTTCTTTAAACTCTTCCTCCAAGCCTTGCTGTAGAAATCCTGAGATGGCTGAGTTGGTATAGTGACAGGCTACAGGCTAGATGGGCAGGATTAGATTCCTGACAGGGGCAAGAAATTTTTCTCTATTCCACAGTGCCCAGGCTGGCTCCTGAGCCCACCCAAAATTATATCTAATGGATACTGGGGGCTCTTTCCCTGGAGGTAAAGTGGCCAGGGCATGAAGCTGACAACTTACTTCCATCTAGTGATCAGGTCATGAATGGTGGAGCTATACCTCTGCTCCCCCACATGTCATCATGTCTTGGTGCATATTTAATCAAGCACAGGGCAACATTACCCCTTTCTTCCAATTTTAATGAAACATATTTATTATGTCATCAGGTTGAGGTGATACCAAGAACTACTTGCTGGCCGGGTAGGAGCCTTTTCATCATGGCTCTCAGTTTCCCAGAGAAACAGTCCTGGGTGTCTGCTCTGGAAGCTATTGTTCAGGGTTACAACAACAATAGAATGGAGGGTTATAATGGGCAGCCTCTAAGATATCGGGGAAACACAGTGATATGTCTTGATGAAGCCGAAATGCTGGACCTTAACTGCTGCCTGCAACTGAGTCCAGAGGTACAGTTCTCTTTATGGGCTATATTGCTAATTGTGCATTTTGTAAAATTGAATCTTGAGGGTCAGAAACTTAATCATTTGACATGGAATGATGTAATTTATATGGTGAGATAGATTTCTCATCTACTACAGAGGGGCTTGTCTAAACCTACAGTTCGCAGCTTCTGCTTTGTAGCAATCTCATGTCTCAGGTGATGTAACCATGTGAACAAAATTTATATCGTATAGCATGTGAAAGATCATGCCAACCCTGATTAAACTTGACTTACTGCCAACTATTTCAAAACTGTTTAAGCAAATTGGTTTTTTCATTACATTGGATGCCAATATGGCTTCTCCGACTGGTACATAAAGGGAGGGGGTTTGGTTGACATACACTGTACCAGTTTCTGAAAACCACCACATAGAATGTTAGGAGACTAGGCAAGAGTAAGGTCACAATAAAAGGCAGTTCAGTAAAATAAGGGCCCAATGGGCATGCAGTAAATGAACCCAAAAATACACTCAAATGAGGCTGTGATGCACACAGAGTAGACCCAATATATTACAATATTTCACTGCTTTTGGCCTGGTTTAATACACACGCAAAAAATGCCATGGGAAAGGCCAGAAAGCAATAAAAAAATGCCAAAAACTTTATGATTGCAGCACCGGGAGTAACATGTGAGGTCAGGTTATATGATAAAACAACCAAAACACAGTGCAACTGGCAGAGGTGAATGCAGTCAAAATGGTATTTAAGAAAATACAAGCCAAATATATGTTTGGAAGCCAAACATTCAATTCCCAGTCTTCTAAACCCCTCATCTTAACTGCCACAGGCTACATCACCTAAGCTAGAACTCCACCTGCTTCAGCTGTTTAATCCTGAATAATCTACAGCACACCTGGCAGTAGGCGGGGCCTCTGCGGATCAGAAGGTGTGGTGGAATAAGAAATAAGTCAGGCATATGGGAAGGCAACAGGCTGTTTTGTAGAATAATAAACTAAGTCAAGGCATAACTCACCACAGTTATGGATTGAAAGGTTAAATTTGTGAGCAGGTTACATTTTTAGCTGTTCATGTAACTATAATACATGTGAATTTTATAAACCAGGAAGCACTAGGCAAGAATCCATCAAAATTTGCAATATGAAAATCACATGATTGAAGATAAACTAAATATCATGAAACTGACATTTATGTAATTCTTATTTTATAGATTTTGTTGCTTGGAGCAGAGGAGGGTCTTTTCTCTTTGCGTCTGAAGGAGAAGAATGCGAAGCCTGTGAAAATACAGGGCTTGACACATGTATACCAGATGTCAATGTTGCCGCTTCTCAACTGCCTGATTGTATTAACAGGTATAAGAGAACTCCACTGGATTGGAGTGTTGACTTAGAATTTCCAACATTTATATCAATTTTAATGTTCATAAATATTTTTATTTGCAGTGTAATTATCTTGAAAATTGTATGTTATATCTTGCAGTGTAAAAAGGTGTTAGCTCAGTGCTAGTATTTCTAGGCATATTGAAGAGTGGCTTTTTCTGTTCGAGATGAGACTTTGCAAACATTTATATACTCAAGATGAGAATCAGAAGTTTTTCTAATGTGCCAGGTTTCCACTAATAATTTATATTACTAGCTATGTTTTCAGTGTGCTACAGTATTTACCTGAGTGAAATTTGATGTATAATAGCTTCATACTAGGAAATATGCTTGAATAGGAAAAGTAATTTTATGAATGAATTTCATGCTACTACTACAAGCATGTGAAAGGAAGTGAGTGTTACACATGGCATTTGAGTTAGTTTCCTTCTTGAAATCACTAACCTTTATTCAGCTTCACCAGTCTTGTTCTGTTCAGTATTACCATTGTTGTCTTAGCTTCAGCGTTTTTGCAATTCCCATCTTCCCTCTCACATTCACTGCTCATACCCTTATTTTCATGACATCATTGGAAACCAAACCCATGACCTTCCAACTTGTAGGGGAGTGCCTCAACGAACTATGCTACTTTTTTCAAAGTTTTTAATACAAAGCTTAAGAACCTGATTCAAATTACAATACAGTAATGAATATGTTATGTGAATAGCTCTTCCAGCTAGTACTCCTTATCTTCTGACTACAGTAATGATGTGTTAACAGTGGTTTATAAGAGGTATTGTAATATTGCCGGAGTTGACTGCGGTATTTACTTTTTTTTTCTGTTTATTGTTACATTGGACAAAAAGATTAATTACTGAAATGTCATTTATGTTCCTTCTCTCATAATCCACCTTTTTCCTCTCAAACAGAAAATTACATGATATCATAATTAAATGCCTTACTGTGCTTTCACACAATAATATACATGCACATCTTAGTTCATAGTCATTTTCAGGCTGTTCTGTAGTGCATCTGTTGTGTAAGTAAAGAGAGCCTATGATACTGTACTACAAGGTCTAAATAAAATGAGTTCATAGTACTGCTTGTAATTCAAATACTTTAAGCCAACTGGAGTACTTTCCTAGTATGTGAATTTAAGATTTGCCTCCAGTTTTTCAGATGATAGAGTATTAAATAGCTTCATCCTGAATAAATGAAGTACATTTCTAAAAAAGTTGGTTATATTTGCTGGTGCAATAAACATGCTTACAAAACATTAGCCCTTAAGAATGAATTTCACTTTGAGATACGATATAAGAAATTGAATGATGACTGACATGTTTTGTTTGGTTGTCTCTCTTAAGGAGAAAGCCGAACTCTGATGATGTGTGACTTACTTCTGGTGAGAACCAGTGCAGAAGCAGCAGAATGTGTTAAACCCAGCATCACTGCATTTCCTGTCCTACCAGCTACTGGATCAAACAGTGTAGGATGTTGCCTTATGTTTGCTGCAACCACAACCAGAGACATGCAAGAGCAAGCACGTACCATCCTCTGTGCCGCCACTGAGAAACATATTCTGTACGTATAGTCTCATCTGTATAAAAGACAAATTTCAGAACTTACTGAATACCAGTACACTACTCCTTGTTTTTTGAAAGGTATGATTTCCTTGAAAGTCATTTTTAGGTATGATCATCATGATTTTGTTATTATTTTAAAGGTAACATCAGGTACAGCATTCTGATATGATATTTGTGATCTAAGTAGTTGTAAGTGGTTTTGATGTATCAGATTTGATCATTCAACTGAGGGTTATAAACTGAACACTGAAATTAATGACTTTGGATTGTTGAAACTGAATATTAAATGAGCGAAAACCTTAAATCAAGAAATATCGAGTAGGGTTTCTCTCTATAACGGTAAAGTTGATGAATATATGGAAGCTGTGATGGAAGGAAAATATTTTACAGGTAAAACAATGTCTAATGCTTTGAATTCCATGTGCAACACACAACACAGTATGAAGACAATGACAAGGTGTACAAATAGTTGGAAGGGTGGAGATCAAAACTTAACATACACGTAATTTTGCATATTTTCATAGTAAAAATAAAGTAAAGCTATCCCTATAACAGGTCGTGAAGGCCCATGGGGTTCTGAGAGGTTGAGGGTCCCACATTATCTAGACAATCGGCTCAAAGATGGCAGTAAGGTTGTCAGCCTTACACACTGGCCGCGCTTTACTTCACAGAAAAATTATTTAATTAATTCCTGGTACTCATTTCTGTTAGAGGCTGAGTCGACCCCAGGGCCATAGTGTGGCCGGAAGGATTAGGTCAATTGAAAAAATCCAATGACCTCATCTGGACTTGAACCCATGACCTTCCGGTTTGTCGCATAGTGCCTCAACCAACTATGCTGCCACGAACCCCCATCTTCATAGTAGCATTACATATATTTAAAGAAATGTGTTACTTCTTCAATGTCATTAACATAAAAATTTGTTGCTCAGGTATCTGTAAAACAAGGACTGGTTTGTGTATTTTTTCCCCTCTTAATGCTTCATGAATTGGTTCTATAAATTTGTATACATTTTTGGATTACTGAAGAATCAGTTCAATACTTGGAAGGGCACAGCATCCAGACCAGCTCTGGGGCCCACCCAGCCTCCTATACAATGTATAATATCAGCTTTCTCACCCAGGGGTAAAGCAGCAGAAGCATGAAGCTCAGTACTCACCTCCATCTAATGTCAAGAATAAGAATGATGAGCTACTGATATCTCCACTCCCTTCATATGCCTTCATGTTGTAGTGCTTAATTTATTAAGTCCAGGGATAACTTTACCTTTTACTTTCTCATTTCATAATATTTATTTGAATGCATTAACCATATTTTAGCTTTATGATAATATTCCATGATAGACTTCCAGTGTGAACAACAGTTTGCAATGTCTAAATAATGTTGGCAGGTTACTGAAGTGGAATGTATCTCAAAATAATTTCCAACTATCCAAAGTGTTGGACACGGAAGAACCT